GTTGACAAACAGCATCACCACAAACGTGAGTAATGTGTTGCGTTAGGATGTTACAAGGCTATCATGCCATTGGGCGATAGGAATTTTTCAGCTCCATTATAAGCTTATGGGATCACTATCATATTTGCAGTTTGTCAGTGACAAAAATGTCTTTATGTGATACATGACTGTAGCTAATTAGATCACTAGCTACCACACTTCAGAGCAAAGACGTTCTTCCCCTCGGGTGCAGAGAATAAATGGTTGTAGCATTTCCTGCAAATTGCTTTCTAAAGACAGTACTGAGCCTCAGATGATGTAGACTTCCTTAAAGTCCTGAAGAGTAGAATGGTTCACCCCTATAGAATAATTTTTTTTGGAAATTGTGAGCACCTGCCACACTAACAGGACACCTACCAGTCACAAGACAAACTGTGAGTAGGCAATCAGCCGCCAGTTCAGGGAAAGTCTTCGATGTAAGCAGCGCTTTACAACTGCAGCAGTGTCCATGCCTGCCTCCTAACCTCATCGACTCTACAGAGCTGAGTGGTCCCTGAAGAGGTGTAATCTTATGGCTGTGCCTATGACTGACCACTGATCTGATGTAAGGGTTACAGAGAATCAACAGGTCTATGGCTGTTAATGGATTGTGTCTTTCCACAGAGAGCGGAAGAGCCAAGAATAAAATGTTCACCTTGCAATTTGCTTTTGAAAAACTCAACATCTTATCTTTTCAACTTTTGGACTGCAACACAAACATCACAGAATTTCTGGTATTAAATTTATTTTGGAATATGTGTATTTAATTTTTTTACTTTGCAGGAGTATAAATTTAGAAAATGTTTAGTTTTTTAAAAATGAGTTGAACAGTTTGTCTGAAGCAGATTAGCCCATAATCTTCATTAATCTTTTGAGCAATATGTGTTTAAATTGTTCAATCTATGTCAAAACCAATCTGGCCCATTGCTTGCTTGCTTGCTTGCTTTCTTTCTTTCTTTCTTTCTTTCTTTCTTTCTTTCTTTCTTTATTATTTATTTATTTATTTATTTATTTATTTATTTATTTATTTTAAAAGCTTAAGGCCAGGCGCAGTGGCTCATATCTGTAATCCCAAAACTTTGGGAGGCCAAGGCAGGAGGATCACTTGAGGCCAGGAGTTGGACCAGCATGGCCAACATGGTGAAACCCTGTCTCTACTACTAAAAATACAAAAATTAGTTGGGTGTGGTGGTGTGTGCCTGTAATCTCAGCTACTCAGGCTGAGGCACGAGAATTGCTTGAGCCCAGGAGGCAGAGGTGCAGTGAGCTGAGATCGAGCCACTGCACTCCAGCCTGGGTGACAGAGCAAGGTTCTGTCTCAAAATTAGATGTTAAAATGCCAATTTCGGAGTCACATCTGATTCACGTAAGTAACTTAATCATGCTTCCACGAAAGAAAAACAATGGTCTCAGAGTAATAACAGTACCAAATGTGAAAATAAATTGAGTAAAAAACCCCCCCATAGTGGAGGAGAAAATCTGTAAGTAAAATAATGATGATAACAGTAATAACAAACAGTATTTACATTGTGGTGTTGTTTTGGAGGCAGGGTCTTTCTCTGTCACCCAGGCTGGAGTGCAGTGGCGTGATAATGGCTCACTGCAGCCTTGATCTCCTGGGCTCAAGTGATCCTCCTGCCTCAATCTTCCAAAGTGCTGGGATTACAGGCATGAGCCTAAATTACTGCCTAGCCTAAATTTTGTAATTATGACGTGACTCAAGAATTCCACTTCTGGGAGTTTACATAGTGAAGAACACAAGAAGCAATATAATTATATGGTTATTTCCATGTTATTTTATATTCTTCTACAGAAGGAGTTAGTGATATTTTTCTGCAAAATGCCAGAGAGTAAATGTTTGAGGCCTTGCAAAAACATGATGTGTTGCAAATATTCAACTCTGCAGTTGCAGCATGAAAGCAGCCATGGCAAATAAGTTAATGAGCATGGCTGTGCTCAAAGAAATCTTTACTTATGGACAATGGATTTCACATTGTTTTATACCATTTTCACGTCATCAAACAATCTTTTGATTTTTCCAACTATTTAAAAATGTAGGCTGGCTGCAGTTGCTCATGTCTGTAACCCCAGCACTTTGGGAGGCCAAGGTGGGCGGATTGTTTGAGCTAAGAAGTTTGAGACCAGCCTGAGCAACATGGCATAATGCTACTGTTTAAATGGGGGAAGTCCAAATGATTCTGGACTTGGCTCTTCTGCTATTTAGCTGCCAACCATAAGCACATTAAACCTTAAACAAAGAGCAAACTGTTTTTCTATTTAGAGCATCCAATACCTGTTAAATCTTAGTTTTTCCCATTAAGTCTTCCCTGATTCTTTAGTTGTCCTTAACTTTTAAACAAACTGAAATTTATACATTCCATATTGGTCTGCTCAGGCTGCCATAACAAAATACCAGACTAGATGGTTTAAACAAAGGAACTTTTTTTCCTCACAGTTCTGGAGGTTAGAAGTCTGAGATGATACCACCAGCATGGTTAGGTTCTGGTGAGGACTCTCTAACTTACAGCTGGCTGCTTTCTTATCATGTCTTCACATGGCAGAAAGAGACACAGCAAGCTCCTTGGTGTCTTTTAGTGTAAGGGCACTAATTCCATCATGAGGGCCCCAACCTCTTCACTTCATTTAAACACACTTATCTTCTAAAAGGCCCATCTCCAAATACCATCACATTGGAGGTTAGGGCTTCCTCATTGGCATTTTAGGCTGGCACAGTCTATCTAACTTCCTGTCCATACATTAGTTATCTATATTAGTCAGGGTTTTCCAGAGAAACACACACATACACATTCAAAATCTAGAGAGAATGAGGGATCATGACCTTATCAACCCTAATTACCTCCCAAAGGACTCACCTCCAAATATCATCATAGTAGGGGGTTTGGGCTTCAATATATGAATTTTGGGAGGATACAAACATTCAGTCCATAACACACCCAACTCACCTATTTATTTTTAATTTTCTTTTGTGGAGACAGGGTCTCACTATGTTGTCCAGTGTGGTCTCCAACTTCTGGGATCAAGTGATCTCACTTCAGCCTTCCAAAGTGCTGAGTTAACAGGTGTGAGCCACTGCACCTGAGCCCCAACTCACCTTTGTCATGCTAATTTCAGACTTAAGTACCCGGATGGATAAATAAATGAACATTTTAAACAATCACATGGTGCTCCCTGACTACCAATATATGACTACCTCACTTCCCCCTAACATTTGATTAGCTGAAGCAAGTCACTTAGTCATACCTAATTTCAAGGAGATGGGGAAGTGTAATTCTCCCACATGATCAAGAGAGAAGAACAATTAGAAACACTGGTGAGCAGAGTAATGTCTCTACCCCATCTTCCCCCTTTTTTTTGAGATGGGGTCTCACTCTGTCAGCCAGGCTGGAGTGCAGTGGTGCCACCTGGGCTCACTGCAACTTCTGCCTTCTGGGCGATCCTCCCACCTCAGCATCCCCAGTAGCTGGGACCATAGGAATGTGCCACCATGCCCAACTCATTTTTTGTATTTTTGGTAGAAACAAGGTTTTGCCATGTTGTCCTGGCCGGTCTCAAACTCTTGAGCTCAAGCCATCTACCTGCCTCAGCCCCTCAAAGTGCTGGGATTACAGGTGTGAGCCACCGCACCCAGTCCTATCTCTCGTATTTTTATATCAATGCTTGTTTTTTCTTTGGACATGGTCTTACTCTGTCACCCAGGCTGGAGTGCAGTGGCATGATCTTGGCTCACTGCAACCTCTGCCTCCCAGGTTGAAGTGATTCTCCTGCCTCAGCCTCCTGAGTAGCTGGGATTATAGGGGCCCACCACCATGACCAGCTACTTTTTGTATTTTTAGTAGAGATGGGGTTTCGCCATGTTGCCTAAGCTGGTCTTGAACTCCTGGGCTCAAGCAGTCCACCTGCTTTGGTCTCCCGAAGTGCTGGAATTACAGGCATGAGCCACTGCACCTGGCCATTTCAGTGACTTCTGTAACGTTAATGTACATTAGTGTGAAGCTAGTTAAATCCTCTTACTTCCACATATCTAATGTACATAGAGAAAGAGAAAGAGATGGAGAGAGAGGGAGAGAGGTACTGAAATAGGAGCTCCAAAAGACATATACATATATTTTGAGACAGAGTTTTGCTCTTGTTGCTCATGCTGGAGTGCAGTGGCATGATCTCAGCTCACTGCCACCTCCGCCTGTTGGGTTCAAGCAATTCTCCTGCCTCGGCCTCCCAAGTAGCTGGGATTACAGGCATGTGCCACCATGTCTGGTAATTTTGTATTTTTAGTAGAGATGAGGTTTCACCATGTTGGTCAAGCTGGTCTTGAACTCCTGCCCTCAGGTGATCTGCCCACCTCAGCCTCCCAAAGTGTTGGGATTACAGGTGTGAGCCACCACGCCCAGCCCCCCAAAATATTTTAAGGGAGTACAGAATCACTATGGTGAGTATAAGCTGGGCATAGTGATGCAAGCCTGTAGTGTCAGATACTCAGGAGGCTGAGGTGAAGGATCACTTGAGTCCAAAAGTTCAAGGCCACATTTCTGCCTGGAAGACAAAGTGTTCTAAAAACAAAAAGCAACAAAAAACCTCAAACAGAACAGTGAGTATATGCCATCTTTTTTTTTTAAGTGTACGTATATGTATACTTGAATACCCATATGGTATCTATCATTAGAAAGATACACAAAAAATTGGAAAATGTGGCAGTGGAGCAGACTTACTTTCCATTGCATGCCTTTGTATTTATTGTTTGAATTCTTAAAAAAAAAAAATCCTGGGTGCATACTTCAAAATTTAAAAAAAAATGATTTTATGTTACTACATAGGATATTCTTACAAATTAGGAAGAAAGTCAAACATCCAAACAGAGAAATGGGCAAAGGAAAAGAAAAATCCATTCACTAAAGAAATACAACCATCAAACATCAAAAAGTACATAATGCATCCCTAATAAAAATAACTGTATATAACAGTAATAAACTTTCATTTCCTCTTTATTAATGTGGTGAACATTTGAAAGCCTTATCAATTCTGATATTGACAACAGTTTGGAAAACTTTAAATGGTGCAAGTATAAAGCTTGAGGTAGGGCAATTTGGCAATATCCATGAAAACTAAGCAGGGTGCTTAATGTTACTATACGATACATTACCTGAGGATATAAGAGTAGTGCATCATAGTAACCTAAAGCATAGGCTCTGGGATTAGACAGTCTAGGTTCAAATCCCATTTCCTAGCTTTGAGACACTGGCAAACTTCTCAATTTTAATGGCCTTAGTTTCTTTATTTATAAAATAGAAATTATAAGAATTACTTAGTCTTGTGAGAATTAAGTAGCGTTACACATGTCTTATAGATTAAAAAAGGACATCTGAACTAAGGAACTTAAAAGCAAAGTGATTAAATTTAAAATGTATCTATTCATTTATATGGTATATATCACCCTCTACAAAAAAACAAAGACATTTGTCCTTCAATCTGCCAAGTTTAGCTAAAAAATTCATGTATCTCTTTTCTGTATCACATATTGACATGATATAGGATATAAGATATAAATATCAATTTAATAGACTTAAATAATTTTACACGTTGGAAAATCTTGGATAAATGGTTAAAATTAGAGACTAACATTAAGTGTGGGCACAGGAATATTCTGTGTACACCAATGGGTTTAACAGAAGATGTGTTTGCACTGATTTCTGGTCATCAACTTGCTCTCTGTGAATCTTTAAATACCAAGTTCCAAATCTTCCAGCTCCTGGAGAAGGGCTGTTTCTTTTTGAATTTTCTCCAACTACAAAAATTTAAAACAATGAAGTTATTATGAAACAAGTACTGGATATGTAACAAAAATAATACAGATATAGGATATTTCTGACAATTTATCATGTTCACTAGTAAACACACATTTTAAAATGCTGGTTAGACACAAATTCTAATTTGTTATCTGGTATGAATCAAGGGTAAAAAAGAACAGACACTGTCTTATTGCATCCCTCTGTGCCCAATAAATTTTCAATACTATATTTGGGTTTAAAAATGTTGAGGAAAGGAGTAGGGAAAAGGTAAACAGGGCAGTACAACTTGAGATATGAAAAGGAAGAGAATCTTCTATTTGTCTAATATAACAAATTGCTATTATTTTCATCAGTAACAGCGTAGTACGCCTCTTAAGAACATGGACTCTTTTATTCCCATGATCAATACCATATCTCCTCTATTTAAGTTTAAGAGTAAAGCTATTTAAAAATAAAAACATTAAATAGAATATGGCATATGGTTTTCAAAGTAAGTTTTCAAAATCTATGTGCTCATTTACGTGACTAGATATTTGTTTATAATAAATGGGGGAAGGGTGGTGGTCACAAGCCTAAATGGAAAATGCAGAAAGTACCTGATTTTTTTCTAGCTGTTTTCCAGTTGCTGCTTGTTCTTTCAGTTGTTCAATTGCTTTCAGTTTCTGCAAATATCAAATATGAGTCAAGAGGAAGGAAGTCACTTCAGATGCAAATTTCCTTATTAAGAATGTGAAACTCAAATAAGGAGATTAATTATCTTACATTTGTATAAAAAATGGTCTGTTAAAATGCTACGATAAAACTATTTTTTAAAGTTAAAGTTAAATGCAAAATTGTAAGTGTTAAAAACATGAGATTTGGCAAAATATTTTTCTCAGGCTTTTAATTAATGTTCTCATATATGTATATGTATATGTAAATGTATCAGTAATGGCACATTTCAATGCCCCACTGGAACGGGTGATGTTTCTGGCTTTGAGAGAAATCTTAGTGAGAGCATTCTGAAAGATTTTTGGTCCAAAGTCCTGCCCAATAAAAAAATGAATGAAAGAGAAATCTCATAATGCAGCTGTGTAGGGCTCTAGAGACCTTGTTTTATCCCCAGGGCCACCCCAGCACACGGGCTGCAATATCACAAGTCAATACATTTCTCTTTTTGTCTCCGTCTCTTCATCTTCAAAACTAGGATAAATATCTGGTCCTACTTATCTCACAGGTATCTAATGAAATACTGATTATGCCTGTAATCCCAGCACTTTGGGAGGCTGAGGCAGGTAGATACCTGAGGTCGGGAGTTAGAGGCCAGCCGGGCCAACATGGTAAAACCCTGTCTCTACTAAAAATACAAAAATTAGCCACGCGTGGTGACACACGCCTGTAGTCCCAACTACTCAGGAGGCTGAGGCAGGAGAATCACTTAAACCTGGGAGGCGGAAGTTGGAGTGAGCCAAGGTTGTGCCACTGAACTCCAGCTTGGGTGACAGAGCGAGACTCCATCTCAGAAGAAAAAAAAAGTTTTCAGTATATTTCTCTGCTAATGCATACTGATTTTTATTACTCCAAAAATCAGTAAATTACTAAGAGCCTTCAGACATTTGTGACAAAACTAAAATCGGTACCATTACTAAGTGACAGTACTTTATAGTGAGAAAGCAACAATGAGAACTGCTAATATAAACTTCTTAGCTCCTGTCTTTAGGCATCTAAGTACTACCTTATTTATGTAATTTTAATTTATGCCTTGCAATTTGCACATCTGTTTTTCATCTAAGTTTCTCACCTTCTTTAGGTTCTTGATTTTTTTGTCTATCTCAGGATCCCCAGAAATTGACTGAGAGATAGTGCTTCGTGGTGTGCTCTGTGGGGCAGGAGTAGGTGTCAAATCTGGACTCTTGTCACTTCTTGCTTCCTACAGGAAATATTTTTTAAAATTCAATTTTAAAAACCAAAAACGTTACAGTATTTAAGCCATCACAGCTTTGGTCTATAAAATATAGAAACTATGTGATTTTACCTACATTTTATATAAAGAATCTGAATTAAAGGTCTCATGAAGTATGCTACATACTCCCATATTAGAAATAAAATGACCTTATCAGAGTAAACTAGGAGGTTTCTGTACAGCCAACAAGCATTCCAAACTTTTGGATATTCTGAGATGTGCCAGTAGATGGATAGATGGATGGTTTGAACACATGAGAGGGCTTTTCTATTTAATGTGTTTAAAGTCTCACTCTCACAAGGCTCTCTCCAAAACTATGAAGAATATGTATGATTAAGTATATGTAATGGATTATGCTACAAGAATAAGAATCCTACAGATACTAATTTATAATCAGATCAATTCAATTATGCAACAAAGAACCACAAAACTTTTTTCCCCTTAAAGGGATGCTATGTTGCTTCCAATATGATCAGACCTCTGATAACTTTTCTTGTCCTTCCTCACTGAAGGACCCCCGATTCTGAATCACTTTTATTTTCACTAAGGTGCTGTATACTTTTGCCCTTGGCCTTTGTGTACAGAAGTCTCCCTTAACCACGCTTTCATTTTCTATGGTTTCAGTAACCGAGGGTTAACTGCAGCCCAAAAATATTACATGGAAAATGCCAGAAATATACAATTCATAAGTTTTAAGCTGTGTGATGAAATCTCTCAGCATCCTGCCAAGGGTGAGAATCATTCTTTTTTTTTTTTTTTTTTTGGGGGGGGGAGGAAGGCAGGAAGGAAGGGAAGAAGGACGGTAGGGAGGAAGGAAGGGATGAAGGAAGGAAGGAAGGGAGGAAGCGGGGAGGGAGGGAGGGAGGGAGGGAGGGAAGGGAAGAAAGGAAATCAAGCAATGAAAGAGACATTGCCGACCTGGATCTAGAGGTTTACAAGTTGATTTCTTTTCTTTTGAGGGACGGAAAGAAAAAAAAAATAAGTAAAGGAGAGGAAGAAAGAGGAAGAGAAAGAGGGAGAGTAAATGGAAATATTGCTTTATTTTGAAAAAAATTGGGTATTAATAATGGCCAATCAATGTTTTATTTAAACTAATGGGTAGGTGTGATGTGGTATTGACAAGAATGTATATTTTGTGTATTTGAAGTGGAGAGCTCTATAAATATTTATTAAGTTTACTTGTTCTGGATCTGAGTTCGAGTCCTTGATATCCTTATTAATTTTCTGTCTCATTGAATCTAAGTCTCCTATCTGGGTGTTAGGATCGTTAGCTCTTGTTGTTGCATTGATCCTTTTACCACTATATCTTTGTTGCTTTAAAATCTATTTTATCCGATACAAGAATTGCAACTCCTGCTTTTTATTTATTTATTATTTATTTTTGCTCTCCATTTGGTTGGTAAATCTTTCTCCATCCCTTTGAGTCTTTGTGTATCCTTGCATGTGAAACAGGTCTGGATGTAACATGCTGTTGGGTTTTGGCTGTGTCTTTTGATTGGGAATTTAGTCAATTTAAATTTAGGGTTACTGCCATTTGATGTTGACTGGCTGTTTTATCCATTTGTTGGTGTAAATTCTTCTTTATGTTGGTGCTCTTTACTTTTTGGTGTATTTTTAGAAAGGCTAATACTGGTTGTTTCTTTCTGTGTGTAATGCTTCTTTCAGAAGCTCTTGTAAAGCAGGCCTGGTGGTAATAAAATCTCTGAGTTCTTGCTTGTTCATAAAAGATTTTATTTTTCCTTCAGTTGTGAAACTTAGTTTGGCTGGATATGAAATTCTGGGCTGAAGGTTCTGTTCTTTGAGGATGTTGAATACTGGCCCCCACTCTCTTCTGGCCTGTAGAGTTTCTGCCGAGAGATCTGCTGTAAGTCTGACAGGCTTGCCTTTGTGGGTTATCCAACCTTTCTGGCTGCCCTTAGTATCCTCTCCTTCGTTTCAACCCTGGTGAATCTAACGATTATGTGCCTTGGGGTTGGTCTTCTTGAGGAATATCTTTGTGGTGTTCTCTGTATTACCTGGGGTTGAATGTTGACCTGCTTTGCTAGTTTAGGAAAATTTTCCTGAATAATATCCTGAAGGGTATTTTCCAGCTTGGATTCATTCTCTCCGTCGCATTCAGGTACACCTATCAAACGTAAATTTGGTCTTTTCACATAGTCCCACATTTCTTGGAGACTTTGCTCATTCCTTTTTATCCTTTTTTCTCTAATCTTTTCTTCACGTTTTATTTCATTAAGTTGGACTTTGACCTCTGATATCCCTTCTTCTGCTTGAACAATTCGAGTGTTTAAACCTGTGCATACTTCTCGGAGTTCCTGTATTGTATTCTTCAGTTCCATTAATTCACTCATACTCCTCTCTAAGTTGTCTATTCTCAATAGGATTTCATCAAACCTATTTTCAAAGTTCCTAGTTTCTTTACGTTGGGCTACAACATGTTCTTTTAACTCACCGAAGTTTGTTATTATCCATTCCTTGAAGAGTGATTCTGTCATCAGGAGGCGCTCGTTCTCCATCAAGCCTTGTTCCATTGTTGATGTGGAACTGTGATCATCTTTAGAGGGAGAGGCGTTCTGACTTTGAGTATTCTCAGCTTTTTTACGCTGGTTTCTTCCCGTCATTGTAAATTTATCCTCCTCTCGTCTTTGAAATTACCAATTTTCAGATTAGGTCTCTTGAGTGGACGTCCAGGTTGTTAGTTCCCAGGGCCAGAGCAGCGGCGTTAAAACTGATGGTGATTTTCTGCCCAGGATTCTCCTGTCGGGCTTCCTTCTTGTTTCCGTAGTAGGCGACTCTGCCTTCCCGGGGCTCCAAACCTCAGTCAGAAGGGGAAGCGGTCTGTTTACTCTGCTCCGAGAGCTGCCGCGCCGAGGTGCCGGCGGAACCGCTGCGCCGACCACGAGAGTCGCGCTGGCGACCCGTGTGTTTCCACCACTGGGGGATCTTCTGCTCCGTGAGCGACCAGACTTTGTCTCGAGAATCATTCTTTTATCCAGCGTATCCACAGTGTATTCAGTCCCCACCTATTTTTCACTAGTAGCCGTCTTGGTTATCAGATTGACTATCATAGTTTCAACAGTGCTTGTGTTCAAGAAACACTTATTTTACTTAATAATGTCCCCAAAGCACAGAGTAGTGATGCTGGCAATTTGGATGTACCAAAGAGAAGCCGTAAAGTATTTCCATTAAGTGAAAAGATGAAAGTTCTTAATACGAAATAAAAAATATTGTACATTGATTTGCTAAGATCTACAGTAAGAATAAACCTATCCATGAACTTGGGAAGAAGAAAAAAGAAGTTAGTGCTAGTTTCACAGTTGCAGCTCAATCTGCAGGTTACAGCCATGGTCATTCATCTCACCACACAGGCATTGTACCATCTCACATCCTCATAAAAATGGTGAATACAATACAATTAGATATTTTGAGAGACCATATTCCCATATATTGTATTACAGTCTATTGTTTTAATTGTTCTATTTTCTTATGAGTTACTGTTAATCTCTTACTATGCCTAATCTATAAAGTAAACTTTATGATAGCTACGTACGTACAGAAAAAACACAATTTCTATAGGGTTCTGTATTAACTGTGGTTTCAGGCACATCTCTGCCCCTCCAGGATAAAGGGAGACTACTATATATTGTTCTTTGTGCCTAGAACACTTTCCCCTACAAGTCACTGGCTGAACCCTACTTATCCTTTAAGTCTCCTGGAAAATTTCCCTATTCTAAGACTGGATAGTTGCATCTTTCCCAGGCTCCCATAATGCCCAGTATTTTTTTCCCTACGTTAACACCATATTCCACCATTCTCCATTAGAACTGAGCCCCTAGCATAATACTGGTTTGCCGCACAGGCTAAATACATAAAAAAGTAAAGGAATGCCTTTTCCTTTATAATTACAACAAGTTACATATTTTGGTAAGGGGAAAAGAGTTATTTATGTATTTATTTATTGGCTCCAAGAAAAGGTTTCTACTTCTTACAGAATTTCCAGTGGAATATATATAATGCCCCAGGTCTCCATAACCTTTTACTCAGAATTCTGGGTAGGATCCTCAGGGAACACAGAATAGGGTATCACTTCTAGATATTCAACTCTAAAAATGTCTGCCTAAGAATTTATATAAAATACAAAATTGGAGTCAATTTTTCTTTTTAAAGTTATGTTGGTTTCACTTTTTTGTACACTTTAATTTAATAAACAATTCCTTACCTTCTTCATGAAAACAAATTACTGTGCACTTTAAGTATTTGAAAGAAAATGTTCAGTCTCTCCTCTCAAGGAGCCTATAAGTTCTGGTAATAGGCAGTTTTATATTTTTCATAATATCGACTTAAAGTAGAAGAGTGAATAAAAGAAGAGGGGATATTCTGCCTATCAAAATTCACTTTTTATATCAGATTTTAAATATATAAAATTTTAGTTGTTTATAATGAGCTAAGAATGTAACTCTTCCAGGAAGAAAGGTTAAATGATATACATGTGAAAAACCATTAAAATTAAGTAACAAATGGTGTTGGGAAAACTGGCTAGCCACGTGCAGAAAGCAGAAACTGGACCCCTTCCTGACACCTTACACTAAAATTAACTCCAGATGGATTAAAGACTTAAACATAAGACCTGGCACCATAAAAACCCTAGAAGGAAATCTAGGCAAAACTATCCAGGACATAGGAGTAGGCAAGGACTTCATGAACAAAACACCAAAAGCATTGGCAACAAAAGCCAAAATAGACAAATGGGACCTAATGAAACTCCACAGCTTCTGCACGGCAAAAGAAACAGTCACTAGAGTGGATCGGCAACCAACAGAATGGGAAAACATTTTTGCAGTTTACCCATCTGACAAAGGGCTGATATCCAGAATTTACAAAGAACTCAAACAGATTTACAGGAAAAAAACAAACAAGCCCATTCAAAAGTGGGCAAAGGACATGGACAGACACTTTACGAAAGAAGACATATATGAGGCCAACAATCATATGAAAAAATGCTCATCGTCACTGGTCATCAGAGAGATGCAAATCAAAACCACATTGAGATACCATCTCACGCCAGTTAGAATGGCGATCATTAAAAAATCTGGAGACAACAGATGCTGGAGAGGATGTGGAGAAAAAGGAACACTTTTACACTGTTGGTGGGAGTGTAAATTAGTTCAACCATTGTGGAAGACAGTGTGGCGATTCCTCAAGGCCTTAGAAATAGAATTTCCATTTGACCCAGCAATCCCATTACTGGGTATATATCCAAAAGACTATAAATCGTTCTACTATAAGGACACATGTACACGAATGTTCATTGCAGCACTGTTTACAATAGCAAAGACCTGGAATCAACCCAAATGCCCATTGATAATAGACTGGATTGGAAAAATGTGGCACATATACACCATGGAATATTATGCAGCAATCAGAAATGATGAGTTTGTGGCACTTGTAGGGACATGGATGAATCTGGAGAATGTCATCCTCAGCAAACTGACACAAGAACAGAAAATGAAACACCGCATATTCTCACTCATAGGCGGATGATGAGAAATGAGAACACATGGACACAGAAAGGGGAGTACTAAACACTGGGGTCTATTGGGGGGAAAAGGGGAGGGCCAGTGGGAGGGGGAGGTGGGGAGGGATAGCCTGGGGAGAAATGCCAAATGTGGGTGAAGGGGAGAAGGAAAGAAAAGCACACTGCCATGTGTGTTCCTACGCAACTGTCTTGCATGCTCTGCTCATGTACCCCAAAACCTAAAATCCAATAAAAAAAAAAAAAAAAAATTAAGTGAAATGTGAAATTTATTTTTCCTTACAAACTAACCAAGAACAAGTTGCAATGTCTGCATTATTTCACTTAAATTTTGGCCATTCTCTACAAAGGACGTATATATAACAAGATTAAATTCTTATGCTTCAACGATTTTTTGGTAAAATCAATAAACTTAGAAAATTATCACCAGTTTATTAGCATACAAGTTAGATTATATACATCTGATTGCTCTATCTCTGGCTACTTACTTCACAGTCAGGACTAAGATAGCCTGGATAAGGTGAGATTCTGTCAAGGGCCATTTAGCTTTGTTCCATCACCCAGCCATTACTAATTCCAGACAGTTGTCCCCAAAATACACACTGAATAGATTATATTGCAAGTTGAAAACCCTTTGCTATTACTGGAAAAACAACTCAAAAAGCAACTCCACGATAAGCGATTACCGGTATCACCTTTGGTATCATCTTTAGTAAACAACGTGTATAGGTGCTTGATGATTGTACTGGCTCCTTAAAAAAACCTGACAGTTATATAATGAGAGTTATAAATAACCATTATTTATAATAATTATAATTATATTAAATTATATGACATAATTATAAAATATAGATACAATTTGCATATTATATAATTGTAATTCAGTATATTATTAGCATATTAAGTTACGATTATTAATTATAATCACATATAATTATATGTTAATATTTATATAATAATTATAAAGGAATCTTAGTTCAGTATCACTGATGGTCATATTAAAAATATCTTTTGATAAAGTGGAAGACACCTTGCTTATTAAAGTAGAATTCTAAGTTGAGTGCGTTTCAGAGAGGCCCTAAAACTCAGAAGGCATCTAACCTATCAAGTTGTAAGGATACTACTAATGTGTTATAATACCCAGGGCCAGCAGAGGTCCCTACCTGTGCTGATGAAAGAACAATACTTAACACATGGACTAGATCATTTTACTTGGAATAACATAAAGCTGACTTTAAATTAAAAGATACTTCTGGGGATGAAATACATTAACTACAAATGAGCAGAATGGTTTTTCTAAAAGTCCAGATTTTAGCAGAATATGGTTGCATAACACAATTCTACACCTTAAAATGGTAACTGCCTCCCAAATCACATAACCATCCTAGACCTGTCAAAATTCAAGAATTATCAGCAAGACTGTATTGGTGATATAGCACTCAGCTATTAAAAATCTGCCCTTTCCAGAACGGGCACAGTGGCTCACGCCTGTAATTCCAGCACCCAGCACTTTGAGAGGCTGAGGTAGACGGATTGCTTGAGCTCAGGAGTTTGAAACTAGCTTGGGCAACGTGGCAAAACTCAGTCTCAAAAAAACCCAAACCAAAACAAAGCCAAATAAAACCCACCCCCTTCCAGCCTGAATAACATAGTGAGAACGTGTCTTTACAAAAGTAAAAAAAGTTAGGAATGGTGGTACACATGTATAGTCCTAGTTACTTGGGAAGCTGAGGCAGGATTACTTGAGCTCAGGGGTTTGGGGCTGCAGTGAGCCATAATCATGTCTCTGCACTGTGGCCTGGTTAACAGAGTGAGAAAGAAAGTGTCTTAAAAAATAAAAATAGAAACAAAAAACAAAAACCCTACCCCTCTGCTCTGGTCTGACATATTGATGTTTCCCCCAAATTCATAGTTTGAGACCTAATACCCAATGTGATAGTGTTAGGAGGTGGGGCCTTTGGAAAGCAATTGAGTCATGAGGATTCCACCCAAATAGCTTTATAAAAGAGACTGAAGAGAGCTCCACTGCCCCTTCCACCATGCGAGGACACACAAAAAGAAGGTGCCACGTATGAAGAATGGATCCTCACCAGATACTGAGTCTGCCAGCACCCCAGCTTCCAGAACTGTGAGTCATAATCTTGTGTTTATAAATTACCTAGTCTAAGGTAGCAGCCTGAATGGATTTTGTGTTTTTTTCCTTTTTTTTGAGGCATGGCCTCACTCTGTCACTCAGGCTGGAGTGGTACAATCACATGTACTCTGCCTGAATTGCAAAAATGTGATCACCGTAACTTCAGTAACGAGACATCCCCAGCCCAGCTGATCACAATTTGTCAATTATTTACACTGGTGTGGCTTTTCAACTACTTAATTAAAAAAAACTGGAAATATTCCATTATTTGGGTACTTCTGGTATTCTGATTCCCAGTTAAATAATTTCATATAGTGCTATAATACTGAGTACCCAAATGGCTTTCTAGTCATGTAATTTCCAGCTTCTCTTATAAACACATGCTTCAAGGAAAGCAAACTGCACCACCTCACACGAGTGCCACCAAAAGAGTCTACAGCAAGTAACATGCTATACAATACCATTAGTCTCAGGTTACAATGTAGGTCCAGTTTCTTTTGTCACCCATCACACAGACAGGATTACTCAGAAATTCATAAGCAAACACAAAAGAAAGACATTCTGCCTATTTAAGTCTAACTCCAATTATATTTTATATAACAGCCAAGGGTTTTTGTGTTTTTTTCCTTTTTTTTGAGGCATGGTCTCACTCTGTCACTCAGGCTGGAGTGGTACAATCACAGCTCACTGCAGCCTCAACCTTCCAAGCTCAAGTGTTCTTACCATCTCAGCTTCCCAAGTAGTTGGGACTATGGGGTACACGCCACATGCCTAGCAAAAAAATTTTTTTAGAGACAGGGGTCTCACTATGTTGTCCAGGCTGGTCTTGAACTCCTGGGCCCAAGCCTAGTTCTCCCACATTGGCCTCCCAAAGTGTTGGGATACAGGGATGAGTCACCACACCTGGCCCCCAGTCAAGCAGTCAAGTATTTAGGACCACAATTCTTTAAATGTTAAGGCTTAAAGCTAACTTAACTGTTTTGTTTTTTTTTTTTTTTTGGAGCCTCACTCTGTCTCCCAGACTGGAAGGCTGGAGTGCAGTGACATGATCAAGGCTCATTGCAACCTCCACCTCACAGGTTCAAGCAATTCTCCTGCCTCAAGCCTCTCAAGTAGCTGAGATTATATGCTCAGCTAATTTTTGGATTTTTAGTAGAGACAGAGTTTCACCATTTTGGCCAGGTTGGTTTTGAACTCCCTGGCCTCAAGTGACCAGCCTCCCAAAGTGCTGAGATTACAGGCATAAGCCACCACACCCAGTCATAACTGACTTTTTGTTTGTTTTGTTCTGAGGAGATTAGTGCCCCCAAATACCTGCTTTGCAGCTTTCTTAGCTTCATGCTTCCTTTGATTTTTAAGAGCTGTTTTTGATAATGGCTTATCATTTCCTGATTGTGGTTTCATATTCTGAGGTGGTTCCTCTTCATGCTACAGAAAATGTAAAATAATTTTGAAATGGAGTCCATGTTGTAAACACATAGAACAACAAATAATATACTTCTGCTAATATAGTATAAACTTATTTTATCAATTTTAAGATCATTAGCAAAGATTATTTCAAAACTAATTAGTAGTGGCACACTCCACTGTCAGGATAGATTTAATTAGGGTCTTCCTATTAGTTGCTGTTTCTTTCAATCATATCAGAGCTGGCAAAATTCACTTTAGTTTTGTGCAAACAACAGAATTTTTCTTAGCACTATTACAGACACATGATTCTTATGAGACTAGAGATCAACAACAGCTTCTTCTGAGGTCTTTTTGATTCTGACTACTGTCAACAGAAACTCAGTCGCCTCGCTTATTTTCTTCACACAAAGAATTACTTGCTAGATCTTTACTTGTAAAATCAGATATTAGAAGATTAAAAATAAAAGCAAATGAAAAACCAATAATAGATTACAATACATGAAATTGAAAGAAGTAACTAGATAACTATAAATCTGGGATTGACATAAGAGGGCAAAAAAAATTACATGGCTTTTCAGATCACACAATGAAAACAATCAGTTCCAACATCAGATATTTACATAACCATGTAACAACCATAATCCACAATAGAAAAGACGGTGAATTATAGCTTCAATGTATCTCCAGAGTAGTTTTTTTTTTTTTTTTTTTTTTTTGAGATGGAGTTTAGCTCTTGTTACCCAGGCTGGAGTGCAATGGCGTGATCTCGGCTCACTGCAACCTCTGCCTCCTGGGTTCAGGCAATTCTCCTGCCTCAGTCTCCCGAGTAGCTGGGATTACAGGCACGTTCCACCATGCCCAGCTAATTTTTTGTATTTTTTAGTAGAGACGGGGTTTCACCATGTTGACCAGGATGGTCTCGATCTCTTGACCTCGATCCACCCGCCTTGGCCTCCCAAAGTGCTGGGATTACAGGCTTGAGCCACCGCGCCTGGCCTCCAGAGTAGTTTTACACAACATATAGTATGAGTGATGGCACTACAAGTCCCTATTAGATTCACGTACTTACTGATTTCTATCTATACTACTATTATTTTAATGTTAACTGTCTCTTAGACTCTATCATAACTAAGCACATCAAAAGTATCAGCTCTCCATGAAGTTTCCTGAGTACTAGGTTTCAGATCTGCATTTTACTTCTAAGTCCTACATGGAAACGGGCAAGACTCAAATACTTAAGATGCAGAGTAATAAATAAGAAACCATAAAGTGACCTTATCTTAGCAAATGCACTATTTCAGGTCATCAGAGTTCTGGGTATGTTCATAGTCTACTTGAAACAGAGTAAGTATTAAGACAACTCGCATTTGTAGACAGCAGACAAATCTGGAGTACAAGGGTCTTTTATTTCATTTTAATCCAAACTGCATAAAATGCTACTTAAGCTATACAATAATAGTGGGCTCTTCAGTAGTTTGTTTTGGCTGTAAAGCTTCTGCTCAGGAGAATTTTGATTTAAAATGATGCAAGAAGAAAAGGTAAGTTACAAGTTTCTTCCACACTTATGAGCATCATATAGCCCCTGAGAGAGCTTTCACTTCAGACAAAAAAATCCACACAACTACTACAGATCATGAATTTTTTTCTGGTTTTGGTACTATGTGCTCATTATGTGTATTTTCATTCTTATTAATAAACTTTATTAAGTTATATCAATTATTATGGGACGGTTTTTGATGAATACATTTTATTTTTCTCAGCTTACTGCAACCTCCCCTTCCTGAGCTCAAGTGATTTTCCCATCTCGACCCTCTGAGTAGCTGGGACCACAGGCAGACACCACCATGCCCAGCTTTTGTTTTGTATTTTTGGTAGTGACAGGGCCTTGCCATGTTGCCCAGGTTGGTCTCAAATTCCTGGGCTCAGGCGATCCACCCACCTCACTCTCCCAAAGTACTGGAATTACGGGTGTAAGCCCCTGCACCTGGCCAACGAACACATTTTAAAAGGCAAAGGTTTTTTGGAAAGCTAATAAGTATTCTTTAAGGATAATTTATATATAAATTTTTACTCATAAAAATTTTTTTTCCGTGGTGGATGAACCCTGTCTTTTTTCCCCTACTGCTGTGTAACCCTCCTCCTTTGTAAAGTTATCTACTACACAGTCTTTGTTTCTAGTAATTTCTTGACAGTATTTTCTTTGTAATTTAGCTAATTTCTGGAATTGGATACACATAAAAATTTCTAATTACCGGGCAAAAAGCTACTTCAACTAAAAATGATTTGACAGGACCACACAATCATTATGCCACATAAAAAAGCAAAAATTTAGTGGAAATCTTAAATGTTAAAAAAAATCCTGGCTGGGTGCGGTGGCTCATGCCTGTAATCCCAGCACTTTGGGAGGCTGAGGGAGGTGATCACTTGAGGTCAGGAGTTCCAGACCAGCCTAGTCAACATGGTGAAACCCCATCTCTACTAAAAAAACAAAAATTAACTGGGTGTGGTGGCAGGCGCCTGTAATCCCAATTGCTCAAAAGGCTGATGCAGGATTGCTTGAACCTGGGAGGCGAAGGTTGCAGTGAGCTGAGATCGTGCCACTGCACTCCAGCCTGGGTGACAAGAGGGAGACTCTATCTCAAAAAAAAAAAAAAAAGAGGGGGTGGGTATGAGCTCTCTCATTCACCATTCTCTCCAACTCATTATTGCCTTACATTACTGGCCTTGCCTAAAAGGTATCTGAATTTGAGCCTCTGATCTACAAGGCTGCTATGCCATACTCAGTTACATATCCTAGAAAATTTAATTTTATTTATTATTGTTTTTTGAGATGGGGACTCACCATGTTGCCCAGACTGGTCTTGAATTACTGGGCTCAAGCAATCCTTCCTCCTTGGCCTCCCAAAGTGCTAGGATTACAGGCGTGAGTCACTGTGCCCAGCTTATTCCAGAACATTTAAATGTGAATTATTTTAAGTTAACTACTTTGTCAACCTACTAATATGAGCTGTTCATCATCTTCAGGAGTAAGTCCTCAATGATTCATATTCTTATCTGGTACTAGGTAACACAAGAACATGAGAAAAAAAAATCTAGAGAACTCCACACTGTGACAGATCTTTTTCTTTTATTATTATTTTTGTTTGTTTTTTGAGACAGAGTCTTGCTATGTTGCCCAGGCTAGAGTGCAGTGGTGCAATTTCAGCTCACTATAACCTCCGCCTCCCAGGTTCAAGCAATTCTCCTGCCTCAGCCTTCTGAGTAGCTGGAGTTACGGGCATACACCACCATGTCCAGCTAATTTTTGTACTTTTAGTAGAGATGGGGTTTCACCATGTTGACCAGGCTGGTCTTGAACTTCTGACCTCAAGTGATCCTCCCACCTTGGCCTCCCAAAGTGCTGCAATTACAGGTATGAACTACTGCACCTGACCCAAAATAAACTTTTTTCTATAAAAGTAGTAAAACTTTACTTACCAGTTTAGAATTGGTGATTGGTTTATTTCTTAAAGCTGGAGGTCTATAAGCTGTTGCAACTTTAGGCTCCTCATTGGGTACTTCACTTGGAACTGCTTGGTAAGTTATTGTTTTTGCTGGAAATATTCCATCCAAAAATGGCTGCCAAGAAACCTGCCATAATTCTGCATTTGATGGCACATCATACTTGTGCAAGATAGAGCCAGTATAATGCCAAATTTTGTATCCATTATTAACCCGTAATCTGGGAGCACATGTGGCTGTTAAAATATGCTCACCATCCGGGCACCAAGCAAAATATGTAGAATCAGAAGCCACTGGTTTAGAAATAAGTTTGTAGTTTTTCACATCCCACACTTCCATTTGTCCTCTCAGATTTCCAAATCCAGCTAATACTAATATATGTCCATGAGGGCTATAGTAGGCTGCATTACGAGGACCAGTTCCAAAGTCAAATACAGGATCACATTTCAAGTTGAAAATTGTCGCTTTGGCAGGCATAAAACCATAAACAGCACAAAACTCAGTAGAACTAGAATTCCAAACTACATCATAAATGGGGCCATTTTTTGCTAGAAAAAGAATATAAAGCCCAAATTAGCAATAAAGAACTATATCAATATTTGTTAGCAAAAGTTACCATCATATAGTACTCATAAACGCGTCAAACAGATGAAACAAATGTCAAGGAATGTTAACATTAAAATACTCTTAAATACTAGGGGGATTAATGTATAATCATGAATTTATTTAAGAACCCCTACTGAATCTTAATTTCTTTAAAAAATTTTGGCAATATGGGTTTATGGTAATACTTTGTTAGTATTAACAAATTTTTTTTGGAAGGGGTAATGTGTGCAAATGGTAATCAAAATACCAACTTATTTATTTATTTATTTTTAGAAATGGGAACTCACTTTGTGGCCCACACTGGAGTGCAGTGGCATGATCATAGTTCACTGCAGCCTCCACTTCCTGGGCTCAAGGGATCCCCCCGTCTTGGCATTCCAAAGTGCTAGGATTATAGGAAGGAGCCACTATGCCCTATATTTTTTAAAATGCCATAAAAGGCCAGGTATGGTGGCTCAAGCCTGTAATCCTGGCACTTTGGGAGGCCAAGACGAGCAGATTACTTTTGGTAAGGAGTTTGAGACCAGCCTGGCCAAAATGGTAAAACCCTGTCTCTACTAAAAGTATGAAAATTAACTTGGCGCAGTGGCATGAGCCTGTAATCCCAGGTACTCATGAGGCTGAGGTAGGAGAATCGCTTGAACCTGGGAGGCAGAGTGAACCAGTAAGCAGAGATGGTACGACTGCACTCCAGCCTGGGCGACAGAGAGATTCTATCTCAAAAAAAAAAAACCCATAAAAAGCAGTGCTTTATCCAAAGGCAACTCTCTATTATATTTCTTGCATATCCTTTCAGAATTTTTTTTTTTGAGATGGAGTTTCGTTCCCATTGCCCAGGCTGGAGTGCAGTGGTGTGATCTCAGCTCACTCTGACTCCCAGGTTCAAGTGATTCTCCTGCCTCAGCCTAGTGAGTACCTGGGATTACAGGTGCATGCCATTGCACCTGTTTAATTTTTGTATTTTTAGTAGAGATGGGTTTCACCATGTTGGCCAGGATGGTCTCAAACTCCTGACCTTATGATCAGCCCACCTCCGCCTCCCAAAGTGCTGGGTACATTTTAATATCTGGTAGTGTCAGAACTCCAGAGAACTTCTGGCCTGCTATTCTTTTACAAAAGTTCCCAAAATATTCTTGCATGCTCATTTTTCAACACCAACCTTAGAACCAATTTATTTCATTAAAAAAAAAGTCAACTGGCATTTAAATTTAGTTTTAGGTTGACAGGAGAGAAATGACACCTTTATTATAATAATTCTTCTTAGTAAAGGTCATAGTTTGTCTCCCTGAAGTTTTAAAGTTTCTTCCCACTGGCCCTATCTATTTGTTCTTATTTTTTGCTATATATGAAATCTTTCATTTTTTTTAAGTAGCTTTTGTTTATAGTATGATTTCATCTACATGAGCAGAGATGATTTTGTTTTCTCCTTTCAAAACTGTATATATTTTACTTCTGCTAATTAGAAATATCGACTAGGTATTTCAGAATGTTATTAAAATAAAGTGAAAAGGGGAGCCATCCTTGTTTTGCCTCTGACTTCAATGGAAATACTGGTTTTTAAAAGGTAGATTACCCTACTTACACATGTTCAAACAACAGATGAAGTGGTAACATTCTTGGATATTATTACTATTTTGAGACAGGGTCTCACTCTTTCACCCAGGCTGAAGTACAGTGGCATAATCATTGCTCACCGCAGCCTTGAACTTCTGGGCTCATGATCCTTCCACCTCAGTCTCTTGAGAAGGTGGGACTACAGGCATATGCCACCATGCCTGGCTAAGTTTTTCTATTGTTTTAGAGGTGGGGTCTCACTATGTTGATCAGGCTGGTCTCAAACTCCTGGGCTCAAGTGATCCTCCCACCTCAGCCTCCCAAATGTGATGGAATTACAGGCATGAGCCACCATGCCCAGCCTCTTAGATATTAACAATTCTAAAGATAGTATTAAACATACTAAACAATTTGCTATCATAATAAGTAAGTTCCAAAAGAGCTACTACAATGGAATTACCTCATTCAGGAAGTTCACTCCTAAAAAGCTGGCATAACTCAATTAACTAATTGGATTCTGGCAAAATAAGGTATGTTTGAGGATGATTTTAAGTTTCTTAGTTAAGATGAATTTTATCTTAAAGGTTATTAAGGTATTTGAATTCTATCTTTTGATTAATATTTTAGATTATATCATCTTTACAGCATAGTATTTTTTACTACCATTGTTTCTAATCAAAGGAAGACTGCCAGAATACTCACGTAATTGTACTACAGCACTTTCTCCATTTGTTGCGATGTAGTGCAGAGTTTGTTCTCCATAGTAGGAAGCTCCTGTCTTGTCAACCTCTGTACTAGCTATCACCAACACAGCAGTAGCTATAAGAGAAAAAACTTTAATTAGATTTAAAACACAAATTAAATAGGCATTCATTCTTCTTTTATAACATAGGAATATATGGCATAAATTAACAACTGGTAAACAAAAGGAGAAATAAAATATACATAGCCTACCTTTTTTATTCCACAGCATTGTAACCTTATCAGCCTTAAAGAAACTTTTATTAGCTAAAGCTGCATGAGGTCCAGCGAAGTTGGGGTACTGATATAATCTAACAAATGAAGGTGCACCTTTACTTCCTGGAACATAGACGGCCACCTAAGATAGACATAAATCATTACTTAATTTTTTGAAGACTAAACACTGAGATGGACATGTTTTTACAGTTACAAAAAAGTAGGAAAAGGTTTAAATGCATAATATTGCACATAAACAAAAACAGCAATTACCTTGTATGGTTGTGGTCCAGGTGATAATACGAAATCATTAATTTTTTGCAAATGCAATTTATTTGCAATTGTGTCTAAAAAAAGAGTAAATGAGGTCAAATTGATGAGAGATGCTAAAAGGAACATGTTAAATTCTGAATACATTATAAAAGGTTATTGTAACTATACACTAATATTATTCATTGTCATCTCATGTAGGTGAGGCACAGAAACATACTGAAAGAAGCATGGGGTAGGGATAAGACAAATGTAGGCCTCAATTTCTCAGTCATTTACTTGCAGTATGAATTTAGGCAAGTAATGGGATTATACCACCTAACTCTAGTAATTGATTTTAAGAGAACAGTGCCAGGCATATGGTAGGTTTTTGATAAATGTCAGTTATCCTCTCTTCAATCACTGCAATAAAGTGGATTTTAGAACCTATGAGATGGAAAAGATCAACCTTGGCCTGCTACTGCAGAATGTGAATATGGAAATTCTGTAACTAATGTGATAAACAGATACATAACAATCATGACCACAACAATTGTAACAATGGCTGATATTAAGAGCTTACGCTACACTAGGCAGTCTGAATTATGCTTTCATTAATAAACTGCTACCCTAGTTAATTCGATCAAGAGCTACTATACTTTCTTTGTTCAATTTCAGAGATCAATGGCTTTTCAAAAGCAGCACACCAAACTGTCAAAGTAGTGATCCCTCTTCATTTGGCATGCTTACAAAAGGGTGAATAATTCAAGAAAACAAGCTAGACCCAAAACAGTGAGGTGACAGTGAGCATCAAACACAAGAAAATGAAATGCATAACTATACTGATTGGATGCTGCTCAAAATCAGCCTGCATGCCATCTTTGGCATGTGTGAACAAAGTTACCAATTCCTATTCTAACTCTGATATACTCAAAACTGTACAATCAGTAATGGGATGCTCTAAAGACAAAAGGAACTGCAAACCCATGAAAAAAAATTGTTTTCTGTAACAGCATTGCTTTTTGGTATTAAGATTCTAAGAATACCATGTGGATAATGGAACAAACCAAATGAATACTTATGTGAATGTGACATTCTCAAATTATCATCCCTGGTATTCCAGAGAAACAAGATTCTTGGTGGTGACAAAAGGCAATACAAATAAGATAGAAAAAGTTAATAAAAACCTTATAGTCTTTACTTTAAATAAAACTGTAAGTATAAAACTTTAAATAAAACTATGATTATTACATCTTTTTAGTAGGAAAAAAGGCCTAGAAACAATGATCAATCCAACATTAATAAGAACCACGAGAATCTAAATATCATTTTTTTGCTATATTCAGTTTTTCAAGAAACCCTGTTTCCTTTTAATGCTTCCTTTAATGAGATCAAGAGCTAATACTTTTTCTTTGTTCAATTTCAGAGATCAATAGCTATTGAAAAGTAGCACACCAAAAAGGAGATAGGGTTTCCTGAAATATTAGCCAGTTCTAGGTGTAATGGTTAAAAATGTACAAATTCATCCTGGAATGACTTGTCTTACCATATGGCAAAGAAGTCATTAAAGACTAATTGATCAAAGATGAGACAATTTGAGCATCAATAAGAAAAATAACTACAATGGATTGAAACACATATATTTTAAATCCACAGCTTGTGGAGCTAAAATATAGCCTGGGCAACATAATGAGATCCTGTCTCTACAAATAATAAAAAATTAGCCAGGCATGGTGGTGCAAGCCTGTAGTCCCAGCTACTTGGGAGGCTGAGGCAGGAGATTTGCTTGAGCTCAGAAGTTGAGGTTGCAGTAAGCCATGATTGTGCACAGCTTGGACAAAAGAATGAGACCTACTCTCAAAAAAAAAAAAAAAAAGGAATGGGGAAAAAGCAAACTGGTTACAACTGAGGTTGCTACAGATAGAATACATTAAAACTATAAAGGCAAGAATACTTATCCTGCCTTTTCTACATAAATGTACCACTAGGTAACAAAATAGTAGATGGGGAAATTTTTATTTATAGAAGCAGTACAGCTAAAAAATAAGGGAGGGAGAAAAAAATCAGAATATCAACAATTTGCAACCACTGATGAAATAATGCATCTAGGCATGAAACATTAATGTCAGCTAACTCACAAAATTAAAGACAACCAGACCTTATGTGCTTCTTGATAAAAGAAGTGAACACCACCTTATAATGTAGTCTTACCTTCACTCACCTAGAAAACAACCTGAAGCTGACCAACTCTAGCTCCAACTTGCAATTTATAGGGGACAGATGAATGTGTTAAATTATACCATGGGATAAAAATGCAAAATTCAAACTATGGAAAAATACGCAAGACAAATAACCTTGTTTTTAAAATACTGAATTATGAAGAGTAAAAAAACAGATGGATTGGGAACCTACAGGATGAAAAGAAACATACAATGTGCAGTACCTTATCTGGATCCTGAGTTTTCAAAAAACTGTAACATTTGCAATTAGTAGAAATTTGAACACATATGTAATAATTTGTGATAATAGTTTTGTGGCTAAGTTTAAAAAATTAAAGGCCCCAATCTTCAGTATTTACCATATTTTAAAAGTACATAAAATCATACCATGTCTTGGATTTGCTTTCATTTAGTAAGAGAGGTGGTAGCTGGAGAGATGTATGGATGAGGTAAGATCAGCCACAAGCTGATGGTTATTAGGTTATTAGGACTGAAGTTTTGTGTTTAAAATTCTACATGAGAAAATATCTAAAAAATTTGTGTCACAGCATTTCAATAGCAATTAAATTCAGGAAAAGATATTCAAATGTCTTAGTAGCAATTACCAGATAATAAAAAGTTATTATAAAAGAAAACTTTTGTCTTATAGATTTTCACTGGATTTAGACTTACGAAGAATTATGCAAATAAATTTAACAGTAATTATTGATTAATAAATTAATAGTATTTAGGAAAACCCTATGATGTCAAAAAAGTTAATTAAAACTGTATACAATTACAGTAAGTAATAAAATTATGTCATAAATCTTTACATACTAAAATTGTTGTTTTCAAAGAAGTGAACTTCATTGTTAACATTGCGGGCACAAAGAGTTTCATCTTCTGACCAGGATGGACACCTATGTCAAAAAAAAAAGTATAAAAAATATTCAGACAGAATGTAACATCACATTAACATGTTAAAGTTTGTGATATTGCTTACTATTTAAAGAAAAAGTTATAAATATTTGATATCAAGTCAGTTACTAATAGTTTTGGTCAGTATATTGTTAATACAAAAGGATGGGCATGGTGGCTCATGCCTGTAATCCCAACACTTGGAGAGGCTGAGGTGGGCAGATCACCTGAGATCAGGAGTTCAAGACCATCCTGGCCTACATGGTGAAACTGTATGCACTAAAAATACAAAAATTAGCCAGGCTTGGTGGCACGTGCTTGTAATCCCAGCTACTCAGGAGGCTGAGGTAGGAGAATCGCTTGAACCTAAGAAGCAGAGGTTGCAGTGAGCCGAGATCATGCCTGTACTCTAGCCTGGGAAACAGAGCGAGACTCCGGCTCAAAAAAAATTGTTCCTTTCCACTTAATACTAAAGGAAAGAAATATCAAGAATTCTTACATACAGAATTCTTAAAATTGTAGATTTTTGTCTGATAAGTTATTTTGAAAATCAACACCAAGAAAACAAATATTATAGTAATGACATTAAAAATACTATAAAAATTAGTACTTTAAAGCATTTAAGTACTAATTTTGCATTTTTTTTCTGGATGAAAGTACTAAATTTACCAATTTTGCATTTTTTTCTGGATGAAAGATTTCAAACATGTCCCAGTTTTCACATCATAAAGTTGTAGGTTGGGTATCCCAGCTGTGCCATCTTTAGAAGCTGCAATAAAAATTTTTTTTCGGTAATTGCCTTGTAACATTTGTAAAAAGATTATTTTTCTTATTTATTAAGTTTGACATGGATTACTATGAAATGGGTTAAATCATGAAAGCTTGCCTCTATGTCACCAAAAAAAAAAAAAGTTACATAAAACCACTCATGATTATCAACTGATTCTCAGTATCTCTTTCATTTATTTGGAAAAATAAGGTTCATTAGAGTTCATGCCTCTTGAAAGAACAAAAACCCAGGAGGTTTGTAACCCAATAATGACCTATTATCATTTACTTATGCAACAATATTGACATTATTAGAAAATGTTTCTTAAAATAAGCCCCTGTAACAGTTAAAATGTCTTGATTTTAAAAGTCATTACTATTCTTAATCTTCAGAGATCTCTAACCAGCAGTTATTTACTTTCTGAATTTTCCCTTGAGCTTTTTCTTTTCCTTTAGCTCATAATGGATCTTTACATGAACTTACAATATACCTTGACATTACTTTCAGTACATTAATTATTTGGAGAGTACAAGATTCACTGTGTATCGTAAATATTTACATTGTTTACTATCATAAAGACTAATTACTTTCTTATGAGGTTATAAAATTTATAACCTTTTCCCCCACTAAATTTAATTGATCCCGTCAGGGTATTTTTAAACTGAGAAAATACTTACTGGTATAAGGCTGCCACGTTGCCAGGACAGTGTTTTTTGGTGAGAATTCAAGGCAAACTGCCTTTGGGAGGTTGAAGGAGTGGAGTAGTCCCTTGTTAGTGACATTGATAATATTTACTCTGGTTTCAAAAGAAATTATTTCAGCAATGAAATACTGTTTTATAGTAGTCACCACTAACCAAAACATTCGTACCTCTTTTCAAATACAGATCATTCCAAAATGCTCATTTTTCATAAATATCAACTCTAACTTAATTCTAGAAAATATCCAGAAAATACCTTAACTTAAACAAAACAAAACAAAAGGCTGGGCATGGTGGCTCACACCTGTAATCCCAGCACTTTGGGAGGCCAAGGTGGGTGGATCACCTGAGGTCAGGAGTTCGAGACCAGCCTGGCCAACATGGAGAAATTTTGTCTCTGCTAACACTACAAAAACTAGCCAGGCACGGTGGTGAACACCTGTAATCCCAGCTACTCAGGAGGCGGAGGCTGCAGTGAACTGAGATCGCACCACTGCACTCCAGCCTGGGCGACAGAGTGAGACTCCATCTTCAAACAAACAAACAAACAAACAAACAAGTATATTTTACTAAAAGGCTCCTATATAAGGCTAGTGCTGGGAAATTACATGAAATTAGAAGGCACATGGATGGTTCCACCTTCAGATGAAAAGGAAAAAACAGTGCCTTTAAGTGAACACAAAACTAATCTACAGAGAAACTGAGGTCTATCAAACCAAAGGAAAGGCAGAGGTGTTAGAGAAAATGGCAAAATCATATTTTTATTTTTTATTTGAGATGAAGTCTCTCACTCTGTCACCCAGGCTGAAGTGCAGTGGCACTATCTTAGCTCATGGCAACCTCTACCACCAGGTTCAAGTGCTTCAGCCTCCTGTGTAGCTGGGACTACAGGCGTGTGTAATCATGCCTGGCTAATTTTTGTATTTTTAGTACAGACAGGGTTTCATCATGTTGACCAGGCTGGTCTCAAACTCCTGACCTCAGGTGATCCATCCGCCTCGGCCTTCCAAAGTGCTGGGATTACAGGCAAAAGCCATCATGCCTGGTCCACAAAAGCATACTTTAAAATTTGAATAAATGGGCCAGGTGTGGTGGCTCATGCCTGTAATCTCAGCACTTTAGGAGGCTAAGGTGGGATGATTGCTTGAGCCCATGAGTTCAAAACCAGCATGGGCAACACAGCAAGATCTCATCTCAGTTAAAAAACAAAATTTTAGCCGGGCGTAGTGGCTCATGCCTATAATCCAAGCACTTTGGAGGCCAAGGCGAGCGGATCACCTGAGGTCGGGAGTTCAAGACCAGTCTGACCAACATGGTGAAACCCCGTCTTAAAAATATATATTAAAAAAAATTTTTTTTTAAATAAATGGAAGCTGTATCAGTAGGGAAATCAGTAAGGAGGCTTTTGATGTCTGTTACAATCTCAAGAGCAATCTTTAAAAGATATGACTCTAAGAATTATTATTGTACAGCACAAAAATGACAACTGTATAATAAAAACAGTTCCATTTTGGGATGTTTTCTATGTACCTAACTATTTTACGTACACTTTTCTCATTTAATCCTTAAACAATCTTATAAATGTCATCATTTCTGTTTTACAAGTGGTTAAATTTAGACTTAGAAAAATAAAATGATTTGATGATTTGCCCAAGATCATACTATAGATAAATGCCACAGCCAACCTTTGAAATCACTTTGGCCTGACTCACTTTTATGTTTTATACGCTATGGGTGTTAAAAAAAAAAAAAAAGACACTCCATGGCTGGGCATGGTGGCTCACGCCTATAATCCCAGCACTCTGGGAGGCCGAGGTGGGTAGATCATGAGGTCAAGAGATCGAGACCATCCTGGTCAACGAGGTGAAACCCCGTCTCTACTAAAAATACAAAAATTAGCTGGGCATGGTGGTGCTCGCCTGTAGTCCCAGCTACTCGGGAGGCTGAGACAGGAGAATTGCTTGAACCCAGATGGCGGAGGTTGCGGTGAGCCAAGATCATGCCATTGCACTCCAGTCTGGGTAACAACAGCGAAACTCCGTCTCAAAAAAAAAAAAAAAAAAAAAAAAAGACACTCCACCCATATTCCAGAAGATGCTCAAAGTAACTTTGTTCTACTCAGGTTTGAGGAAAATAACTGAGGTTAAGATAAGCAGTAACTGACAAGAATGAAAGATTACCATATACTATTAAAACACACACACCTATATGGAACTCTTTACAACTTGCTGCAAATAACCTATTTTAGAATTACAAGACGCTTTCTTGTTTTCTCATTGTTGTTAACCTTTATTTTTTTCTCTGTTTTCAACCAGAGCCTACTCAGAACTGATGATCTTTAATAGTTATTCTCAGTTTAATGAAGGATGTTTATTTTAAAGAAGAAAAATCAAAAGAATCAGTAATGGTTTCTGACTTAGTTAACCAGAAACTGAACAAAGACCACAATCAACACATGAAATCTAACTCTACTGTCCCAGAACAATATGTACCATTGTGGTCACAGCACTTTAATGAAATAAATGCTAGAACCTAGTATAGAAGATATGTATTAAAATCATGGACATGACATAATGGGGACATATTAAAAAGATTCAGAGTTGAATCCAATAGAAGGCTAAGTGAGGATATGAGTGAGGCATTAACAAAAACAGACTTATTCAACAAATTCTAAGCTAGAAGAATAAGGAATACCTCAAAAAAAAAAAAAAAACAAAAAAGACCATGAAAAGAAGTATAGTATAGCCCATTAGGTAGTAAATTTCTATTGACTCACTGAAATAATACAAACTAAAATATGGATTTAAAAAAAAATTTTGCTGACTTGCAGCTTACTGCTGAAGACAAAATAAGAAAAAAAAAAAATTAAGTGCCCACAATAGGTTACAGAAAAAAGAGTAAGAAATTTTGAGAACACATCCTATTTTTGAGGCTAAGATTAAAACTTAACATTGTAGGTAAAACCCATTATAATCATAGTATTAATAATTTCAGAGTGGTAGATTGAGGCCAGGAATGGTGGCTCATGCCTATAATCCCAGCACTTTGAAAGGATGAAGTGAGCAGATCGCTTGAAGTCAGGAGTTCGAGACTAGCCTGACCAATATGGTGAAACAGCGTCTCTACTAAAAATACAAAAATTAGTGGGACATGGTGGTGTGCACCTGCAGTCCCAACTATTAGGAGGCTGAGGCAGGAAAACTGCTTGAACCTGAAGGCAGAGGTTGCAGTGAGCCAAGATCATGCCACTACACTCCAGCCTGAGTGATAGAGTGAGACCCTGTCTCAAAAAAATAAATAAATAAAAAATAAAGAGAGAGTACTAGTAGATTCAATAATTTAAAAAAAAAAAAAAAAAAAAAAAAAAAGAGGCTGGGCACAGTGGCTACTAACACCTATAATCCCAACATTTTGGGAGACTGAGATAGAAGGACTGCTTGGGGCCATGAGTTTGAGCTCAATCTGGTCAACACAGCAAGACTTTGTCTCTATTAAAAATTTTTTTTAAAAAAAGAAAAATAATAAAAGACCAATGTTTTAAAATTATAAAAGCAGATTCTGCCAGCTATTTATAGTCATAATAGGTGAATCAACTAATTCGACATGTTCTCTTTAGTAGACAATTTTTAAAAAGCGAGTATTAATCCAATCTCACCTGAGTTGAGAGACTTCTGAATACATTACCATTGTAAAGAACAACATTTAAAATTTACCTTTCAAACTAATGCATTCATATTCTCCCTTTTGAAAAACCTAACAGTATTATATGTGGTTTAAAACAACATAAGTAACTTAAAGCCACACAACAAATATTTTGGCATTTGCCTGGTCTGTGAAATAAAATGTTGTAGTAACTCTTGGAAAATTAAAAACGACTGGTTTTCTTAATAAAATGCAAGCATTTAATAAACATAATTTTTTTTTGCAAAACCAATTTTGTAAACTGATATGTAACACACTAAACATGCTTTTGAATAATATACACTTTATATTCATAAGACTAATAATAATAACTGCAGACAGTTGTTAGTAATTTAACAGCAAAGATAAAAAGTATCTACATCTAGGATTAAATGAATAAAGAGAATTATTTTCTCAGTGTTAGTGCACATTCAAGAAACTCCAACCAATAACTTATAGCGCTACTGAAAACAATTTCTCAGCTTCTTTAGCATTATGTTTTTCATACATTAATTTTTAATTCTAAATAAATAGATAAACAAGTCATGGCATGTAAATAGAAATGAATAACTGAAGGTATTCTGTGTAATGAGAGGTAATCTCTCACTACATCATGACATTAAAAGATGGATTTTATTGAGACTCAAATATCTGTTATTCAAATAGTGCTGGTTATGTTTATATTCATGACACACAAAATATAATGTTATGTAAATGAATACTAACTTTTCTCCATTGCCCCAGGCAAACAAGGTTCCATCCTTACTAAAGGTATAGACTTTGCAATTCTTCCCAGATTCCCTGAAAATGACAAAAAAAAGGTTTAAATCAATAAATATTAATACTTAAAAAAAATCTGATCATTTCACTATCAATTTAGTAACTAAGAACTTGTACAAATTTCAGAAAATTCCGAAATGCTTTCATCTGCCAAAATAAAGTGCAATACTAACAATCAATGTAAAGTAAGCTGGAAAATGATTTCATACTAACAGATCAATCTTAAGAAAAAAATAGAGGCCTTTTGAGTGAATAAGTTTGTGTGGTAGGCCTTCCATCAATTTCTCACATGTAGTGATAGAAGTATAACAATAAGAAGCTCCTCACTTAACTAAATGCTGATGCAGTATTCTATACAAAAATGAATTTGTGGAAATCAGACTACTTGGCAATATTCTATCAAGTAATCAAAACTCTAAGTAGACTGTATCTGTCAACTGGAGACAGTTACCCAGTGATAACACCCAAATAGAAACATGAATCTGTGTACATGTAGATGTACATTAGCGCAGTCACAACAGGAGATGAGAACTTCCTGACTAATAAATAATTCGAATTGCTAAATAACACCAAATGCATTGAGAACGGACTAAGACATCCCTGTACACTATCTTTACATTAATTTATCTGCACAAATGAAGTTGGCATTTGTGCTTCTGCAATCACACAATAATGACAGCTTACACTCAGTTTATAGATTACAAAACATTTTTTTTTGAGATGGAGCCTCGCTCTGTCTCCAGGCTGGAGTGCAGTGGTGCAATCTTGGCTCACTGCAACCACCGCTTACCGAGTTTAAGCAATTCTCCTGCCTCAGCCTCCCTAGTAGCTGGGACCACAAGCACATGCCACCATGCCTAACTAATTTTTGCATTTTTAGTAGAGACAGGGTTTCACCATGTTGATCAGGATGGTCTCAATCTCTTGACCTTGTGATCCACCCACCTCAGCCTCCCAAAGTGCTGGGATTACAGGCGTGAGCTACCGCGGCCAGCCAATAACAAAACATTTTTAAAATCTCTTTCCCATGGTGCAGTGGCTCATGCCTGTAATCCCAGCAATTTGGGAGGCCAAGGCAGGTGAAGTACCTGAGGTCAGGAGTTCGAGATCAGTCTGGCCAACATGGTGAAACCCTGTCTCTACTAAAAATACAAAAATCAGCCAGGTGCAGTGGTGCATGCCTATAATCCTAGCTACTCGGGAGGCTGAGGCAGGAGAATGGTTTCAACCCAGGAGGCAGAGGTTGCAGTGAGCCCTTCTGCCACTATCCAGCCTGGGCAAAAGTGTGAGACACCACCACAAAAAAATAAAAATAAAAAACTCTTTCCTGCATAAGTCGCTATGATCAAGATGTTCCCCATCCTATACTATCCTACATTTATACAACTCATTTCTGAACCTCATGGCAGAATTTTACAATTATCTTTGTTAAATTCCACCCAGGTTTTAGCCTATCATTCCAGCCTATTGATGTCTACTTAAATCTCGATTTTCTTTTTTAAAACATAGTCAGTTCTTACATTACATACAGAAGTATGTAATGTGTTAAGTTATAAAACTGTTACTTAGCTATCATCTAAATTATTTATAAGAATGTTCAGTGAGCTTTGAACAAGATCCTATGGCTCACCAACATCCTTCTTTCAAATTAAAACTAACTCATTAATCAGCTGATTTTACTGACCTTAACCAATGACATTCTGTCATCATCGTGCAATCCAAAGACTTTCTCATTTCTCAGACATTTTGCTAAAATTATGTTTACAGTTGTATTATTCTGATGTGTCTGGAAATTCTATCCAGAAAGGAAATGAGACAAGCTTGAAACAATCTGTTCTTAGGAAGCTCATTTTTGACTCCAATAGACAACTCCGTATCTCAATGATTATAAACTGTCCTTTTAATAACTCATTCTCGAGCCATGTTTCAGACTGAAGACAAGCTTACTAAACTACAGAATCCAGAATTCAATTATTTTCTTGGTCTTGGCAATTGGAAAATTTTGTCTCTTTCCTTCTGGTATAATTTTTGGAATGAAAAATTTCAAATATACACAAAAAATAGAGAAAAAGTATGATAATCCACCTATGCACTCATCATCAAGTTGAAGTAACTATTAACTCAAAGCCAATTTTGTTTATCCATTTCTCACTTTTATCTTTAATGCCATAACATTCTAACACACAACCCAGATGTCATTATTACATTATTCTATATTTCAGGATGCATCTCTAAATATAATCACCACCATGCTACTTCATCTCACAAAATTAACTCCTTAATATCATTTAATGCCCAATACTTGGATTGGATATCTGGGTTTTTTGAAAGCTCTCCAGGGTCATTCTAATGTGCAGCATTTGAGAACTGCTCATGTAAAAGACAGACTGAATCCTGAGTTTAAAAAGTTTTTTTAACCTTCGTAGAAGATATGTACAGCACACTTCCCACTGTATAACTCATCAGGAGACACATATTTTTGTTCTACTCTTAGTGATACTGAGATTGCACTGGATTCAATCATGTGCCTCCTTGTATCTACCTAACCCTTCCTGCTGCCAAGCCTCAACCATTCAACGAAGAGACCTCATCTTCTAATGCCACTGGTTATCTTGGAGTCTGCAGGGTTAAGGGCCATTTTTCCACATGGTTCCCATCATGTACTACTGAAGCACAGAGAGGAGCTTTGGCACTCAGGTTCAACCCAAACAGGCTAAAAGGCTGCAGTAAATTTCTTACCCGTCTCCCCACAATAAGTCGTTTTGAAGTACAAAGGTTCCACACAGCCTCTCTGGAGACATTCTGCACACATGACCAAGCAACCTGGCTATGTTTTGTGGATTTGTGGTCAGCTCAGTATACTCCCATCATATTTGCTTTCACTCCTTCCCTGCCTCACTTCCCTTTCTTCCCTACTCCTGCAGTCTTGGGATTGCACACCTTCATGAAGTGCAGCACAAAACTTTGCCACAGATTTGTTTTTTATTTTTTTTTAAATAGAGATGGCATTTTGCCATATTGCTCAGGCTGGTCTTGAACTCCTGGGCTCAAGTGATCCACCCACCTTGGCTTCCCAAAGTGATGGGATTACAGGCATGAGTCACTGTGCCCGGCCAGACTCGGTTTTCTAGAGTAATGCTTCTCAAATATTAATGTGCATACAGGGCTGAGCATGGTGGCTTACTCATGTAATCCCAGCACTTTGAGAGGCCAAGGTGGGTGGATCACCTGAGCCCAGGAATTCAAGAGCAGTCTGGTCAACATGGTGAAACCCTATCTCTACTAAAAATACAAAAAATTATCTGGGCATGGTAGTGGGTGCCTGCAATCCCTGCTACTCAGGAGGCTGAGGCAGAGAATCACTTAAACCCAAGGAAGCAGAGGTTGCAGTGAGCTGAGATCACACCATTGCACTCCATTGCTGGGCAACAAGAGTGAAACTCCACCTCAAAATAAATAAATAAATAAATAAATAAAATAATGTGCATACAGGCCATGCGTGGTGGCTGAGGCCTATAATCCCAGCATTTTGGGAGGCCAAGGCAAATAGATCTCTTAAGCCCAGGGGTTGGAGACCAGCCTAGGCAACATAGTGAGATACCACCTCTACAAAAAATACAAAACTTAGCCAGGCATGGTAGCACGCACCTGTAGTCCCAGCTACTTGGGATACTGAGGCAGCAGATCATTTGAGCCTGGGAGGTTGAGGCTGCAGTGAGCCATGATTATGCCACTGCATTCTAGCCTGGGCAGCAGAACATGACTCTGTCTAAAAAAAAAATTTGCATATAAATCATCCGAGGATCTAAAATACAGATTCTGATTCAGTAAGCTGGATAGGGCCTGAGATGTATTTCTGTACTGGCTCAGAGGTGATGCAAATATAATTGGTACTGGTTGGGCCCATGCTTCTATAGCAAGGTTCTAGAGAACTGGGCTTAATAAAAATTGGTCAACGGAGTCAGATAATATCAGCTTGATTATAAAGTTCCCTACTAACAATCATCAAACAGTTGAGCTAATGGTTTCAGCATCTTCTGATGATCATCTGCCTAGATCAATGGTGCTTAAAGTGAGATCCCCAGATTTGCAGCATCAGTGTCACCGGAGAATTTGTTAAAAATGCAAATTATTGGGCCCTATCCCTGATCTAATGAATCAGAACATTTGGAAAGAGAGCTGCAATCTGGGTTTTAACGAGCTTTTCAGATGATTCTGATGCTTCGTACAGTTTGAGAACCAGTGGCCTAGATCAATTTCTTGAAGATTATAAAATGGTAATTGTCTGATAAGCATCCATTCTGCATTTATTAACTGGAATTCTTCTATAAAGTTCTTTTTCTCACCAAGTATTTGGTTACTCTGAGAAACAAAGAAAGGCAAGATAAATGCTTGATTCCTTCCCTTTATTTATAAATTTTCAAAATACGGAGTGAGGCCTCTATCGACCACTGATGCCAACCAGTAAGGTTTAAATGGAAGAGGAATTTTTAAATGGAGGAGCATTTATATACTTGACATGCTTTACCCTTCTATTCATAATTCTTAATATTACCATCTAAGGTAGGTATGAATCTCTTCAAGTTGATTCCTATGACCCTTTAACAAAATCTTATTAGTCTTAGAGATTCTTTGCTTTTTGGCACCAAAGTCCCTACCTCAACTTGTACATTTTCTGTCCCAGACCTAGAGTGGACCACTTCTCCAAGAAGTGGTTCTTTTCAGTGAAGAACTGTATTTAGAAATCACAATCTGTGAGGCTGGGGTATTCACTGCTACTATGTTATTACTGCTTCCAGGCCTTTTCAATGGACAGAACTAGGACATGCAAGTGTTTTCTGAAAATAAATAATGAGTTCATATTGATATAAGCAAGTCTATCTTTCACCCTAATGCTGAAAAATCTTGGTTCCTAATAACATATTACAATTAATTTACTCTATCTTATAGTGGATTCAAATGACAATATAAACTTTCAGTTAAAAATAAAACTATTAGGTTGGGTGAGGTGGCTCATGCCTGTAATGCCAGCACTTTGGGAGGCTGAGGCAGGGGATCACCTGAGGTCAGGAGTTCAAGACATGGTGAAACCCTGTCTCTACTACAAATACAAAAACAATTAGCCGAGTGTGGTGGCAGGCACATGTAATCCCAGCCACTTGGGAGGCTGAGGCAGAACTGCTTGAACCCAGGAGGCAGAGGTTGGAGTGAGCCGACATCAAGCCACTGCACTCCAGCCTGGGCAACAAGAGTGAAACTCAGTCTCAAAAAAAAAAAAAAAAAGAATTTTGCAGGTCTTCATATGGTTATGCCACCAACATGATATAAAGCTAGGATCACTTATTTTAGTTTCCCACTTTAATTATTTTAAAACAATTATATGGTACAAAGTCAAAACTATACCAAAGCTCATTCACAGATGTGTGTCCCCTGCATCCTGTACCTTTCTCCCCCTATAAATAAGCATTGTTAACTGGTGTTTGGTTTACTCATCCATTGTTTTTTTGGGGAAAAAAAATATCTAGTTAGCTATATACTATGTGCATATATACATCCTTCCTTTTAATACCTGATTTCACTAAGATTACTGGAAGTGATTTGGCTATCAAATTTGCAAGTTTTTCTCATTCCTTAAGATAAAACTCATGTAAACTAAAGGTTTGTATTCAATTACACTAATGTCCACACTTTTTCTTAGTATTGCTCCCCCGACCTTATAAATAGGCTTAAGTTACTATTTTCAGATCTGAAGATCATTTTCCTTGATACAGAACATGAATTCTTTTCATCTTCAGTTAGTATTACATAATATGTACCAAGAAACATCTGTTATTTTCCTTTCTTGTTCAAAATACAGCACCAGGCCAGGTGCGGTAGCTCACGCCTGTAATCCTAGCACTTTGGGAGGCCGAGGTGGGTGGATCACCTGAGGTCAGGAGTTCAAGACCATCCTGGCCATCATGGAGAAACCCCATCTTTAGAAAAAAAACCAAAATACACCACCAACAAAAACATTTTAGATTTACCATATGTTCCCTATAACATTACTTAACAAAATAAACCATACCTTGGAAACACTGTGCTTTCTGTAAAATGTGGTGGTCCATTCACCATGTACAGTCCTTCTGATCCCCGGACTAAAGAAATGAAATGAAAACAATAACAATTACTTTGTTAAAAAAGACTCAGTTAACACAATTTTTTTTTTAAACAGCTTTAGTCAAAATGTGAAATCATTAAATATTTCATTGAACTACAGAATATTAGCAACAAAAGGGCACATTTTCTTACTCTGTTACATAAAATCATACACTTGCTGAGAAATATGTAACTTTTTAAATAAAAACTTGAAACTTTAACTGTCACCACTGAAAGAAAGGCAGCTGTGGGGTGGTAGAGAGGACATGAACTCAGAGGCTGACTTAAGTTTATAACTGCCTGTAGAATCTTGGATACACTACCACCTCTGAATCTGTGCCCTAATCTGTAAAATGGAAATACTAGAACACAAGATAGCTGTATGCTTTATATACAGTAATAAAAAATATAGTACGTATTTAAAGTTTTTAGAACTATAAGACATTATTAATATATTCAAAATTTCTCAAACTAAAAGAACAAGTGGAATGAGACATTCATTTATTAATGCCCAATGACAGTAATATCCTAAAAAATTAAGTGGAAACAAAGTTAAAGATTAAATAATCATCAATAGAACAAGATCATATTTCTTATTTTTATTTTTAAATTTTTAAATTTATTTCTTTGAGACAGGGTCTTGCTGTCACCCAAGCTGCGGTACAGTGGCACAATCGTGGCTCACTGCGACTTCAAACTCCCGGACTTAAGTAATGCTCCTGCCTCAGTCTCCCAAGTAGCTGGGACTACAGGCATGTACCACCATGCCTGGTGATTTTTTTTTTTCGGTAGAAACAGAGTCTCACTGTTGCCCAGGCTGATCTTGAACTCCTGGGCTCAGGCAATCTTCCCTCCTCAGCCTCCCAAAGTGTTGAGATTACAGGTGTGAGCCACTGTGCCTAGCCTAGACTATATTTTTATAAATGGCTGAATTAAATGCTTCTAAAGCTGAACCAAATAAATAGATTCATTCACTCAACAAATGCCGAGTGGGAAAAAAACGACCTCCTTCCCTCCTAGGCCTGTGTTGAACACTGGTGATATAACAGGTAAGAAAAGCAGCCTTGTCTCTGACCTCATTGATCTTTGCAAACAGTAATCAATTAGCCAAATATACAAAATTGTATACCTGTGTTTAGTGCTACAAAGGAAAGATACATGGTACCATTGAGGGTATAATAGAAAGTTTTGACCTAAAAATGGAAAGCTAGGGCAAGCATTCTTGTTATTTGTAAACTGATATTTAAAGGATCAATGGCAGTTAACAAGCAAAGAGAACAGTAACAAGTGCAAAAACTCCAAGGAAAGAAAAACGACAGAACATCAGGATATGGAAAGAAGGCCTGTGTAGCCAGAGGATGAAGAAGCTGGAAAAGAAAATAGGGTTCAGGCCAGGGGTTGCTCACACCTGTAATCCCAGCACTTTGGGAGGCCGAGGCAGGCAGATGGCTTGAGCCCAGGAATCCAAGACCAGCCTGGGCAACATAGGGAGATGCTGTCTCTACAAAAATTAGCTGGGCATGGTGGTATATACCTGCAGTCCCAGCTACTCAAGTAGCTGAGGCAGGATAATCAGTTGGACCTGGGAGGTCAAGGCTACAGTGAGCCGTGATCGCGTCACGCACCACCATGCCATGTTAATTTTTGTATTTTTTTGTAGAGACAGGGTTTCACTATATTGCCTAGGCTGGTCTTAAACTACTATGCTTAAGCAATCCAATCTGCCTGCCTTGGCTTACCAAAGTGTTGGGATTATGGGTGGAAGCCACCTTGCCCAAACTGACATTTTGTACTTCTAAGATGCCTTGGTAGATTTAATTAGTTTGTAGTTTCATTTTAATTTGAATAAAAGAATATATAGTTTAATTAATTGATTTACTCCTAAGCTGTGATACAAGTTTATTAGGAAAAACACAAAATTATGTCCATAACAGAACATAAACTGTTTTAAAACTAATAAAAGCCAAAATAAATTTGAACTAAAAAACTTTTCAATACTGAAACAATTTTTTCCTCATGTAACTTTCTAACAAGGAATCCTTTTTAATTAGAAGCATCTAAATGTACAACTAGAATGTGTACTTAGCTTAATATAGCCTATTCTGAGTTTGTATGATTCCTGGTTTTTACTGATTTCCTCCTTCAATCAAATGGGACTGCCAATATGTTCTAGTAGAAAGAAAAACCTAGAATGCAAGCAGTTTTTTTTTTTTTCATTAAAACAACAAATAAACCCCAGAGTTTCACACAGTCACTGTGTGAAATACATTAAACATCCATATAACCTTTTCTAAGCTTACTGGCCTTTTTAGAGATTCATATACAATTTATTGCTCTAGGCCTGAGTTAGAAAGAGAAAAACACAGGGCTTCAGTAAACAAGGATCCTATGGCAGGGGTGTAGTCATCTTTAAAATATGATACTTTCCCCAACTTTTATGTTCACTGAACTATTCATCAGTGTAGGAAAATGACTCAATTTTGAATAAATTATCTCAGTGACTTCAACCGGTCAAGCAGATTAGACAATATGAATTTCACATAATGGACGTTGTTGTTTTATGTGCCTAGCACCCAGCTCCTCTTCTTTAGGAGATGCTCATTTTCTTTTCAGGAGTATCTGGAGTGAGAATATAATTTAGTCCTGACTACATGATTAAATGCTGACTGATACAAAGATGAACAAGGGCCAAACAAAATCAAAGATAGCTAGCCTTAAGATTTTTGCTGAGACTATAGGCAAAAATGTGTCCTTTCCTTAGGAGCTGGGGAGTTGGTTGAATGTCAGTTTAAAAATGAATTTAATCTGGAGGAAAGCAAGATCCTAGGGATGAAGAAAAACAGATTTCTGGCTGGACGCAGTGGCTCACGCCTGTAATCCCAGCACTTTGGGAGGCCAAGGTGGGCAGATTACCTGAGTTCAGGAGTTCGAGACCAGCCTGACCAACATGGTGAAATCTCATCTCTACTAAAAACACACAATTAGCTGGGCGTGGTGGTGTATACCTATAATCCCAGCTACTTGAGAGGCTGAGGCAGGAGAATTGCTTGAACCCAGGAGACAGAGGTTGCAGTGAGCCAAGATCGAGCCATTGCACTCCAGCCTGGGCAACAAGGCAACAAGAGTGAAATTCCATCTCAAAAAAAGAAAAAACCAGATTTCTGAAGCCATATTTAGTATCTGGATCTAGCAGTACTGAGGCTTTTAGGTTATATGAGTTTTTTAAAAATCCCGTTTTTAGGCCGGGCGCGGTGGCTCAAGCCTGTAATCCCAGCACTTTGGGAGGCCGAGACGGGTGGATCACGAGGTCGAGGGATCGAGACCATCCTGGTCAACATGGTGAAACCCCGTCTCTACTAAAAATACAAAAAATTAGCTGGGCATGGTGGTGCGTGCCTGTAATCCCAGCTACTCGGGAGGCTGAGGCAGGAGAATTGCCTGAACCCAGGAGGTGGAGGTTGCGGTGAGCTGAGATCACGCCATTGCACTCCAGCCTGGGTAACAAGAGCGAAACTCCATGGGGGGCGAGGGGGAGCGGAATCCCGTTTTCACCTGCTTTGACTTTTTTGTCATTCCCAATTAAAAGTTGGGGTTAACAAAATGTATTGGCTAATCTGCAAATTATTCACAGCTCTAAAATCCAATGAGTCTAAATTTAACAAAATATTTTGAAAGAATCTATTGTTGAATGAAGTATCTACATTGAGAATGTTTAAAAGATTTAAACAGTCTGTTCTAGTGAAAGAGAATGAACCACAGAGTTTAGAGTTGAACAATCTGAATACATATAATCCTAATCCTGACAATTTGCAGTATGAATCTGATCACTTAATCTCTCTGGGCATCTAAGAATATGAAAATATGAAGAGCAGACTAAACAGACAACTTTAAACTCTTACAAAGTCCCTAATTTTAAGCACTGTAAGACAACTGTCATCCTTGGTTAATTTGACTATAAAATGAAATTAATATCCTTCATTAATTTAGAAAAATAATCTCAACGTTATCCTTCCATGACAATCCTTCCATTGTCTTCCATGAAACCAGTTCCTGGTGCCAGTTAATTTAGAAGGATAATCTAAACATTATCCTTCACCGTGTTTCACCATGTTGGTCAGGCTGGGCTGGTTTTGTGGAAGACAATATTTCACAAACGGGAAGGGGATGGTTTGGGGATGAAACTGTTGAAACTCTTCCAGCTCAGATCATCAGGCATTAAATTCTCATAAGGAGCACGCAACCTAGATCTCTTGTATGCACAGTTCAAAGTAGGGTTTGGTCTCCTATAAGATTCTAATGCCCCTGCTGATCTGACAGGAGGGGGAAGCTCAAGTGGTAATGTTTGTTCGGTACCAGTCTGTGGCCTGGGGGATTGGGGACCGCTGATTTACAGTATCTCTTGTTTACCAGGCACTGCACTAGGTACTGAGAAGACAGATATGAATAAGACCCTGACCCTGACATTGAATGACACACAGTCTAGCAGGGGACAAGTGAATGTCTAATTATCCCACTTAGTAAGTGAAAAAAAGTTTCAAATATATTTGAAGTACGAAAATAACCCAGGAAGTGACTGACTCTCTCTGGGTAGAGGGAGGAAAGGCTTTACAGAACAATGATATATAAAATGAATTTTAACAGATGAAAATTTGCCAAATCAACAAGAGGGATGGGATAATATTAGACTGAAGAAATAGGTTGTTCAAAGGGACTCAGAAGCAGTTCAGTATTGATGGAGCACAAAATAAGATGGGATGGCAAGAAAATAAATGAGTCTCAAGAGGTATTCAAGGATTAGAAATGGTTATATACCCTATGCTACTCAGGATTGAATCTGCCCTGTAAGCAGTGAGGAACCACTATAGGCATTTTTAAAGGAAGGGCTATTTATCAGATTTTTAAATGTATTAATTTTTTCACTGAGTTCAAATAAGCATTCAGTATTAAAAATTGTGGAAAAAATAAATAAAAATAAAAAATAATAAAAAATAAAAATTGTGAATAACAAGGTACCTTTATGAACCTAAAAATAATTTATTATGTACTTTTGCCTTTTAAACAGTCTTTGCCTAGCATATTATCTAGATTACAGTCAGCGTTTGACAAATGATGACTAAACTGTAGAAGACAGAGTATCAGTGGGCATGGTGCTTAATAACAAAGATTTTAAAATATAAAAATAGAAATGTAGAATGGCAAAAAGTGCAAAAATGTTATAAGTTTCCTTTCAAGGAGTGGGGTGGGAGAATGGGAGGGAATAGCCTCCCTTCTCAAATGCAGACCTTTTTCTTAACGACTTTTTTCCATCTAATAGTTAATCAGAACCAAAGCCTTCTTTTCCTTCTCAACCCTCTTTTCCTTACTTAATAATCATATGCAAAGACTCCTAGCCACAACCTAGTAAAGCAACTTCCCCAGCATTGTCCAATATAAGTTTATTATCTTCTCTAACACTACACACAGTCTTCAGCTTTAAAATTCCAAGAGTCTTCTAATGCTCTACTTCTAATATGCTTATAACCATCTCAAAATCTAATGTTGCTATATCTCTATCATGCTCACTGCTACACCCTCTCCCAACCACCCCTTCATCATTTGAAACCTGCATTACAGCTCCACTCTCCCTATTCGGTCCTACAAACCTCATTAAGGCAGGAAGAAAAGAATTTGGAATTAAGTCCAGGTGTATTTAACGTGAGTGGTCATCCTAGAGGACTCATATGTTTATCTTTGTCCTTATTGTAGAGTTAAATGACTTCACAGGGGCCCGTGTAACACCAGTATTGCAGACCCAGGTGTCACAAATTCAACTAGCACATTCTGATTTTCTCCCCCTTCTTCTATCCCTGTAGAAGATGAATCCGCAGGCAAGAATGATGGATGGGTGAAAGGGAGGGGTAATACGAAAGCCCAGAGGCGGAGTCTTCACTTCCGATTGCCACGCTATATTAAGAAAGCCAAGGGACAGTCTGGCCTTTCCGCAAGCCACAAGAAAAGGCAGATCAGACTCCCCGGCTCCTCGGTTAGTTCTCAAAAGCAAAGACAAAAATAAGAAACTGGTCTGAAGAGAGTCCCTTCCTTGTTCAGAACTCACCTGTCAAGAGCGGCGTGGACGGCGCCATATTGTCCCGGAAAGAGAAACCCAGCCACTCGGGTGAGAGTTCACGAGGGCGGCACCGGGCCCCTACGCGTCTCCTCAGGCGTGGAGACAGCGAGTTGGTATTTCCGGAGTCATCAGCCTCGGGGCCAATTCACTTACGGTTGCGGGGAGACGTGAAAAAGGCGACCGAATGCGCAAGCGCAGATTCGCGGCGACGTTTGACAGGGCTTGGGAGGGCTGGACTGGGGCGGGCGCGCTTGCATTCGCCCTCCTTCTCCAGCGGGAGGGGCGCAGACTTCCGCGGGGCGGAGCCCGCCTAGTGCTGACGTTGGCAGCAGAACCCAAAGTAGATCGAGGCGCCTGGCTGCACCGTCCGGTTGTTGCGTTGCGTTTCCTTCCTCTTTCACTCCGCGCTCCCGGCGGCGGCCAAGGCGGCGGCAACGGCGGCGTGAGAACGGCCAGGCGGTCAGTTCTCTTCCTCCCGCGCACCCGCCTCCCTCGGCCAGTCAGTAGGCGGCCGGTGCCCAGCTAGTGCTCAGCCTCCGCGTTTGCCGCGCCCAGGCCCAGCGACCGTAGCTAGCGCCTGGCCTGAGAAAGTCGTCGCTCCAGCAGCGCGGCGAGCACCTAGGAGCGGAGCCTCGCAGCGGCTCGAGAGGAGGCAGGCGAGCGAGCTAGTCCGAGGGGTGGCCGGGGCAGGTGGTGGCGCCGCGAAGATGGTCGCCAAGCAGAGGATCCGTATGGCCAACGAGAAGCACAGTAAGAACATCACCCAGCGCGGCAACGTCGCCAAGACCTCGGTAAGGAAAGACCGGGCGCCCCTCTGCGTTCCGCAGCCGGTGCTGAGTCTGGGTCCCTGGGGCCACGTCGCGGTTTGTCTCGGACCCTGCCGACTGTGGGCTGGGGCTGTGGAGGGGTAGGGGCCCGAGTCTGTGAGCCAGCCGACAGTGGGGGCTCGGGAACGGGAGACCTGTGAGGTAAGGAGGCCCTGCGACCGGGGTGCCGGCTCTGGGAGCCTGGGGTCCGAGTGGTTTCTCTGCATCTGAAATGGTGGATTTTCGCTTTTGCAGAGAAATGCCCCCGAAGAGAAGGCGTCTGTAGGACCCTGGTTATTGGCTCTCTTCATTTTTGTTGTTTGTGGCTCTGGTAAGTGTCTTGGGCGCTCCCATCAGTAGGGTCTTGGGTGAAAGGGTTTAGGATGACGTGGTGACCGGTCAGTAATGAGTCCTGCTTGCGTAGTTCTCAGCCCACCTGCCGAGGACTCCACATAATTCTGTTTCATCTGAACCAAATTATTTGTTCCACATATGCACAGAGAGTGGTGCTCCAGAAACTTCTCCCAGCTTGAATTGTACTCACTAGAGATCAGAAAGAAGGTCAGGTCCTTGGTAATGATCGAGTTGGAAGAAATGTAAGACGGAACAAAACCTCATGGAATGAGAATTTAGAATGTTTTGTAACTCCATTATCAGTCTTTGCCAAGAAACTTATAGATATGTTCATATAGATGTTAAAACTTGATTTAACATATGCCAGAATGTAATGTCTTAATGTCAAAATTGAGTATATTTTATCAAGTAAAGCTTGATGCACTATAGCGGAAATGTACCGGATTGGCATTTTAATGTGTGAGTCAAATGTTTTTAGGTTAATAAAAGAAACGTTTGACATATGGTTAAAAAAAAATCGTCAGGACAGCCTGCTGTCAGAGTAACAGACACTTGCCTTTGCAAATAGATTACAAAAAAAAGTCTTTCCTCTCTTCATTTATCATCTTAATATGCAAGCTGTTAATATTGAAGTGGATGTTTGTTTTCCACATTCTAAAGTTACTGAGATTTCTGTTGAATGTTTCACTTTGCCTTTCTTCTGCACTTAGCAATTGGAAGCTTTCCTGATAAATGGCTGAGAGCCAAGCAGTTTATGTAACCTAAAGATTATTGAATTTCAGCTTCGTGAGAATGAGGAAACATGCATGTGTTATATGCCAGGCCTTGAAAGGATGCTTAATTATTTAGGGATAAACCAAAATAATTCTATGCTAGAAAAACCTGTTTGCTTTGGGGCTTTAAGTTCTTTATAAAGATACTTACACATAAAATTCAGGGAAGCTAAGAAAAAAAATAACTCAGGGGCATTTCATTGTTTTATTTATTCAGATAGGCCTGTCTTCACTTCTTATTATAATGAAGTTATGTCGCATTTGCAAATGTAAGAGTATGGTTGGATTCTTCAGCTACTTTAATAAATATGTCAGTCACCAGACCTGTTTCATTCAAAGCTTATTTTAATATTTGCTCTTTCTTTTTGCAGCAATTTTCCAGATTATTCAAAGTATCAGGATGGGCATGTGAAGTGACTGACCTTAAGATGTTTCCATTCTCCTGTGAATTTTAACTTGAACTCATTCCTGATGTTTGATACCCTGGTTGAAAACAATTCAGTAAAGCATCCTGCCTCAGAATGACTTTCCTATCATGCTTCATGTGTCATTCCAAGGTTTCTTCATGAGTCATTCCAAGTTTTCTAGTCCATACCACAGTGCCTTGCAAAAAACACCACATGAATAAAGCAATAAAATTTGATTAAGATACAGTAGTGGACCCTACTTATTCAGTCAATAAAGAGTAAGTTTTTTAAATGTGGTTATTAACACAGAAGGGACAATTAGGCTAAGTCTGCATACACAGGGTCTAGATTTTGTTAACCCTAATGTATAAATGCAGCTAGCTTAAATTACAGTTTGAAGTCTTGTGGTTTTTATATAGCTAGGCACTTTATTACTCTCTTGACCTGAAAGCACACTTCCTTACAGGGTCATGTAACTGTCCTGTAATAAGGTGCTTATAAATGGAACAACTACACAGCCTAGTTTTACCACAACCTTTAGCATCTAAATATTTTTAAAAGCTTCTAAATGTCTAATATAAAAGGAGATGCTTTAGCTACAACATCTATTTTACCAATATTGTTTCCATTACACTACCATGGATCTTACATGAGCAAGTATAGTAACCCAAGATGCCATTGAAAAAAAAAACTGATCATTTTCTAACTTAATCAGTTACTGTGGTTTCACTAAAAGCTACCGTGGTGGAGAGAAGTCAGTCAGGGAAGGTTTGTTTATGTTACCTTGATTTCACCAGAATAATTTTAGTATATCCAAGGGATTTACTATACCAAACAAAATTTTAGGGAAAAATACTACTAAAAATGAATGCCTCGTCAGAACATGCTGTTGAGGCCAATGTGCCATAAGATATTTTACTTTAGCATGTTAAATAGCACTTTTAATAGCAAAAAAAGGCACATCAACTACAAAGTTATACTTACTTTGGAAATGCTTTTTCTAGATTAATGATCGAAATGCCTTTAGGGTACTAGACACATCAGCCTAAAGTGGCATCTTTAATTGAATGGATTTACGGATAAGGATCAGTCTTTAGTCTTCCCTTTGTTATATGATTTTCTAGGTTATGATTGATCAAATTTACCTTTTACTAATGGTAAGGGTGTGGGTGATAGGGCAAGATTTGGGTTTTCTAGTACTGTTGAAAACTGCAAGTATTGGCTCTTTGTATACTTAGCCATAACTTGGTGAAAAAAACCTGAGCAGTGTCTATGTATTAATGCATTGGAAAGAAAGCTGCTTGTGTTTGCTTTGTTAATTGCCTTTAAAATAATTCTTTAAAATAAGGTGTTTTAAGAGGAACAGAAGGGAAATCTGCTACCTAGTCTATACACAGTGTGAACCTCATAGAGGGCTTCTGATACCCTCAAACAAGGAGAACAGTAAGGGAGCGGAGTGGTTAAGGACTTTCTGGAGTAAGAAATGAATCAACTGACCTTGGGCCAGCAGGTTTTTAACTAAATTGTTACTGCCTTTCTCACCCAGTTAATCAATCTTTGTACTTGTTTCCCTTTTTGAAACAAGTATCTTGGTTAACTATTTCTATTTTATGGTTGCGCTAAATTCATAGCAGGTGCCTTATTCTTTGCTTTCAGTCAAACCATTCCATATCAGAATTTTCCTTGTTTTTTTTTTTGTAGATAATTGGCTTTAAGTTGTCGTTTTTGTTTTTTAATGTATAATGTTCTGATACATTTGACTGTTTAATTGCTAAAGCTGGCAATCATTTTACGTATGTAAAATTGCATTCCCTTTGTATTTCATGTGTAATTTACCAATTAAGTGCATTTTATATTCAGGTTGGATTATGCATGTTTGGGTAAACAAAAGCTGTGTCTCACTTGATTTATTCTTTAAAAATAAAGTTCCCTGAATATTTGATGCTTTCTTCTAAAAGGAAATGGTTTTACAGTTACCTGAATGTACTTTTTATGGTGATTAGAAAATGATTTTAAAGAATGTTTAGTATTGTACTTAAAAGAAATGGTATGCAGAGGCACAGATATTAAGATTTATAACTGGAAATGGGTAGTAAGAAAAACATAGAAAGCACAATCATTTAAATATTTTTCCACTTAGGATTTCCTAATCTCCTTTTCATCCAATTCAGGCTCAAAATAAAGCACAATTCTTTGATCTCCCTTTTATAGATCATCTAATGTTGAGCACAGTATAAGAATAAATACTTTATTGGGGTTGCCAACGTTACTCAGTTATTCTTTGTGATTTAGCTGTAACATTTCAACAAGTTGTCAATTATTGTATCTGTTGGGTTGTATACAGTGTTGCTCAAAATAATTAAGTGGACTTCCAAAAGTAAGATTTCCATTGTAACAGGATGCATTGTAATGGGTTTTGACTTACATTAAAGAAATGTGTATAGTCAACTGCAGGGCCATGACTCTTCTCGCTGAGGTTACTGGAGTTCTGTTGGTACAAGGGACAACCACGTTGAGCTGGATTATGTTCTTGGGCTGCTTAGTGGCAGGTTCACCAACTAAACTTCTGCTTTATTATCTGTAAACTTCAGAGCAGCGGATTCTCCGCATAGAAATTGTTCTTAAGTTTGATTTGCCTTTACCTGCCTTTTTAGTTTTTAAATTTATTTTTTAAATGGAAACCTTAAATTT